TGAACAGATGCTCTCGGGGTATGCGAGAACACATGGTCAGACGAGGAGAGAGCAGTAGGAGTAGCAGTGTTTTCAGTGGTAATCCATGTTTCCGTCAGCGCCAAGAAGTCGAGGGACTGGAGGGTAGCATAGGCTGAGATGAACTCTGCCTTGTTGGCAGCAGAACGGCAGTTCCAGAGGCTGCCTGAGACCTGGAACTCCATGTGGGTGGTGCGTACAGGGACCACCAGGTTAGAGAGGCAGCAGGCACGTGGTGTGAGGCGTTTGTATAGCCTGTGCGGAAAGGAGAGAACAGGGATAGACAGAGGCATAGTTGACAGGCTGCAGAAAAAGGCTACAATAATGCAAAGGAGATCGGAATGAAATGAACTAAACATCTGGGAAAGGAGAGAGCGGGGCCTCCCTCACCACAACTCCCAAATATAACTCTCCCAACTTCCACCTCAGAAACTATAATTGTTGTAAACTACAGCGGTTCAATGTTTTCTAGGAATAGACTAACTTAGTTTATTCAGCTAGCTAACTAGGTACAGTGTTCTTCCGTGAAAATCGTCCAGGGCACCTAGTCATAAGACGCCACAGCCAGCTAGCATGCCGGACTCCAACAACACGGTTTAGCACCAATACTCGGCCACAACAAACCACCAGTAGAAACCACTGCATTTACAACCAACGCACCAACCAGGCCCAGTAGAAACCACTGCATTTACAACCAACGCACCAACCAGGCCCAGTAGAAACCACTGCATTTACAACCAACGCAACAACCAGGCCCAGTAGAAACCACTGCATTTATAACCAACGCACCAACCAGGCACAGTAGAAACCACTGCATTTACGACCAACGCACCAACCAGGTACATTGGTGTTAGAGGTGGGATTTCAAATATGGGCATGTGCCACGGATGCTTCCGTTTTTAATATATAGCGTATCTGAACACTGGCTCCCCTCTCATTCAGCACTAGGCATATTCCAAAGGAGCAGTTTAGGCCGGGTGTTTTAGTTGGCTATCGGAGGGCCCTGCCAGAGGAAGTGAGGGAGGGGAGGGGTCCTCAAGTGTCTTTTCATTGATGTGGAGTGCTGCTAAAGTTAGCATGGAGCGCTCTGCACGATGACCTGGGAGATAATCAAGCTCCCTAACACCCCCCCCCCCACACACACAATTCTTCTTCACAGTAGCAGTTGGAGGTACAGTGCCTTTTAAAGTATGGAAAAAGCCCACTGTCCTTTTTCTGAACTGTACTATGGGTGGGAGATGGGGTTTGGAAGCTGTCACAGGTTCATTATGTTGTATGAAATGTTTTCATATTGTGTGATTTCATTGCAATAGATAGGAGAACCTATATGCATGGGCTAGGCTACATTGTCTACATGCATTATATTTTTGGGTAAATACTCTTGGTTGGAGCATAATTGTTAATCACATGTTAATCAGGTGGAAGTCTTTTGAAGTTCACTTTGTGACTTGACAGTAAAATGTTATGTTATGGATTGTGGTCATACAGCAAAGTCTTCTGACTAATAATGCAACGTCTGCCTCAAGTCTGGTTATATGGATGACACGCCATTAGCAAAGTGTTATATATATATTTTTTTTGTGTGTGTGTGTGTCCCTCCCCCCACAGAAATGGCTTCAGCCATCCTGAAGTTTGAGGTCGTCACCATTCTATTTGTTGTATCCTTTAAGTTAACCTATTATGGTGACCTAATGCTTTCAACCTGTCCAATAATATACTCTGAGATTGTGGAGATAAGTCCTGGTACCTTGCTGAGAGGTCTAGCAGCAGAGAAGAAAAGTATTTCTATCTGTTGACCATAATGGGTCATGAGAACAGTGGTGGGGTGACCAAAAACTTGGAATGTCCAAAAAGAGAAGGAAACCTTCTCTCCCCGTTCTCAAGATTAGCTTTTGATCTTGTACTTGCGAGGTCTGCTCCGTGCATTGCCTTCGGGGGACTATCTGAGCAACCCCAGTGTGCTTTAATTTAACTATTTTCTCTATTTATTTATGTTTCTTACAAAGGCCCGACAAGACTGAACTCTCGTCCTCTTTTGGGCTTGGTTGCCACAGCAACGGCACGGGCTCTCTCAGGGGGCGGACATCATTGGTGCATTTTTTTGGGGTCGTGCTCTGAGAACGGCTTTGCCCATCTCCGCCTGCTAGCCGGGGCTCTTGAATTCCTCTGTATTATTTTAGCATTAGGCTGGCGCATATGGACACTGTATTCTTTCTGCTCTTAATGTTTCCATATTTATCCCTGCTGCTCGGGGTGGGTTTCTTAAGTTAATCTATAGATGGTGCCCTGTAATCAGCCCCATGTGGGTACCCTAAATTAAAGAGAATGTGTGAGGCGCAAAGGTCACCGCTTCACTTGCCTTGTGGTTGGAGAAAGTCTCGACTGCCCGGGGACAGTCGCTCCTTGTAGCCTGAGCTTGTGAAAACAGCCAGCATGAAGGCTACCTTCACGCATTTCTTCCAGCAGACGAGGTTGGTTCTGTCATGTGAAACTTATAAACATTCCACTGGTAAGTTCCCAACTGTTTTCACCATTAAACCACGATTGACAATGCCAGGACAGATACAGAGCATTCGCTCACTGATGCCCGCTGATATGACTTCCTGCAGTCAACACATGGACAGCTACCTAACAGGGCCATGAGTTGGAGCCATTTGGCTGTGCTAACATTGTGGTTTACAGTGTGAGCCCTGTGTGTTTGTACGGATCAGGTTTCACTGGGGAGCTTAGGCTCTGCTCTCTGACTGCAGGAGACAGCCTCTACCTCCCACCCTCAGTGCTCTTTTTGTGAAGTGTGCACTCATAGCCACAGTCACTTCCTGACACATGCCGGCTGAAGTTCCACTGATGGGAATGGGTAATCACGTGTACACACACCCAATAAACACACACAAGTTTGATTTAGGAGTACTTTTCAGTGTTTGAAAAGAGTATCGGTTAGAACAGTCCTGTGTTGTAGTGTTAGTGTTCTAAGTTCCCTCCGGTGAAAATAAGATGCTAAGTGTTCTGTCACTTAGCAGCACTGAGATTGAGTGCAGACTAGTTAAACATGAGGTCAATTCCAACGCTGTTTCTGTGTATTTTCAAACTCTAAACACAAGCAGGCCTGGTATGAATTTATCAACTATGATATGATACTATTCCAGTAGCCGCCGCCTCTTTTTATTTCAAATATAGAGATTCATAAGAATGTTACAGAGCTGTGTATCTTATAGAAATGCACAAAACAATATTGCAACTGGTAAGGATGATTACATCTCGATTTACTTTAACTTAATTGAACATAATCAGCTAGGATCTCTTGCTAGTCAGTCAGTAACGCAGAAAGAGCATCACTATCTGGCTTGGGGTGGAGGTGAACGTCATGAGATGACAGCTACTTTGCTCTTCTCCCTGGTCGAACCGTTTAGTGGATAAACAGGCTGTTGTTTTCAGAAGGAGAGGCACATACGCTGTACATTTTAAAGCTGCAATATGTAACCTTTTGGGCAACCTGACCAAATTCACATAGAAATGTGAGTTTTATAGATCTGTCATTCTCATTGAAAGCAAGTCTAAGAAGCGGTAGATCAGTTCTATGTGTGCTATTTCTATGCTTCAAACAGCTGAAAATCTATTTCACAGCAGTTTAGATGGCACAATGTTTCTCTACACTACTTGCTTGTTTTGTCGCAAACTGAAACTAGGCGACCTATTAGCATTTTAGCATACAGGAAATGGCGTAGCGATTTCTGCATAGTGCATCTTTTTAACTATTGACCAGTGAAGTGGGGGGTCCTGTCCTACTGTGCATCATGGATTCATTTACTAAAGCTCTGTAAGTGTTTACTTCCCAGAACCCCTCTCTTCCTCCATTAGAGAAGGGCATTCCAAGAAAGGCCACCTTGCCCTCAGCCCCTTTCCTGTCAGGCTAGCTTTAGTGGATGCTATGCTATATGGCTAAAGCACCTGCTCCAGTGTAGTGATATCCAGCGGAAATAGCGGCGGCTGTGTTTCCCCCTCTCTCTCTGTGTGGCCACCAGCCAACCCTGCTGTCTCAACATTGCGCTTAGCGCTATTGAAAGTCACACTCTGCCATATAGAAATTCCCCCTGGGCCAAGGGGAGCGTGCTAAGGTGCAGTTTGCCGGGATGGGATGATATTTTACCCGGAGCGTACGGCGTTCCAGGCCTGACTTTGGAGTTCTCCTCTGCAGGGATGGCTGGGGAGGAGGATCCAGCCCTTATATTTAGCCTCACGGTGAAGTATTTTACCATTTTAAAACAATTTAACAAACTGTCAATAAAAAAATGAGGTCAGCCAAAGCAAAAACCAGAGAAATGAATTTGATCAATTCTGTAAGTACAGATTGTTTCCTCAGTAGGAAATGTCCAACTAGTCAGTGACAACAGTTTGACAGCAACTATGTGAGTTTATTACAGTATCAAAGATACTATGTGCTGGGATTTCCTATACTATGTAGAAGAACCCCTTCTAACGACTTGTGTAGCTTGTTACATGTGTGTTTTTGTTTCATAGTTTGTAGCGCAAACCATTTGGACCCGGGATCGGCCCTTGTCTCATAAACACAGTTAATCACACAGACTAATGTTGGTATCTACGGATGCAGAAGAAGTAGACTAATCCAATGGTACAGGCCAGAAATATTTCAAAGCGGTTTGAAGTCCAAAATGTGCCTGTGTTAGTGGGAGTCATTGGGTTAAGAACATGCTGGAAGGGAAATGGAGAAGTAGCCCCCGCTGCTATACCCAGCTGGTGTCTTCATGTTATGTCGGTGTTAATAATACTGAAGAGGGTTGTGCTATCGATGACATCGCTCTGTGTGGTTGAGTAACACTGGATTGAACTGTGAGTCATGATGGCTTTTAGTCAAACATTACGATGATGCTACATTAGTTTTTTTTATTTATTTTGCGAGTTCATGACACAGCATTGCCCTCCCTCGCCCCCCTCTCTCTCCCTGTCTGCTGTGTTGTGCAGACTGCTACGTGTGTGACAAGGCCTGCTCTCTAGCCAGAACACTGGCCAAACAGGTTTGAATGGCTACGTGTATGTTGCCTGTGGAGTGTCAGTACGTGTCTGCAGTGTTTCCCCTATATTCAAATTGTTTCCACCGCTGCAAAAAATGTGGTGATAAAAAAAAAAAAGGGTCTTGACACCACTGCTGAAAAAAGTGTATCCTAGGATTGTCTGTGTGGGCTGTGAGTGCAGAACAGGCCTGTCTGTCAGGGGTCAGTGGCGGTGTGAGGTGGGCTTTACTCACAATGTCTCCTGTTATTGCCTACATTAATAGTCAGATTATCTCCCTCTCTCGCTCCCTATAGTGTGTTTAGCCATCAAATAAAGATGGCTTTGTCTGCCTTGTTCGGCTTTAACCAACGAAACGCTGCTGAAATCTCCCATCAGTAAAAAGATGGTTCAACCCATTCACGGTATTGCTCCCGTTGCATTTCTCAGCGGCTCCTATATTGGTCAAGGAATGCATCGTTCCCCCCCGTCCTTGACATTAAACAGTGGTAGTGTCCCTCCTGCGTCAGTGGGTGTCTCTCGCAGGCTGCTGAGAGATGCCAATGTGTGGCTGTGACAGAGTGGGGCAGCGAGGTATGCCAGTTTCCCCACAACCCTTAAGCTCTGCCAAAGGACTGTTAGCAAAGGATGACACTTGCTGTCTTTTCTCCTCCTCCTCTTCCACATCCTGTCCCCCTGGTTGCCATGCTACTTGTCCCTGTGATGTGGGCAGTAACTCTGGCACCTGTCAGCTACAAACAATTACAGCCATTAAGGGATTACCATTGTTGGGCTCCTGTAGCCGGTGGGCTGGGCCTCTGTAGGGGATGAAGCAGTGGAGAGGAGGCTCAGGAGGGGAGTAGCAGGAACTAGCAGTGAGTTCTCCTTAAGGGGCATGGTAGCGGTCAGAGAAAGAGAGACGGAGACAAGACGGAGGGGGAAATGGTGGACACAAATCAACTGACCTAAATCGCTACTACCTTAGTTTCCTATAGTATCAGTCACCTGCAGGTATGAGACTTCAGACGGTGCAGAATTGGGCAGAACACCAGTCTAGCTGTTTGTATACCATCTACATTTAGCTACATTATTTTGGTTTCTGCATTTAGCAGACGCTCTTATCAATAATGATCTTGTGTGTATCTAAGGGATGGTGACACCGAGGGGTGACTGAACTCTTGACAGACAGGCCTAGCGTCATCTTGTCACTCAGCCAGAGTGTGGTTGTGAGCAGCTGTGTGGAGCGCGCTCAGTGGAGGGCCGTCTGTCTGTCTCTGTCCGCCCTGCAGCAAAGTCAGACGAGCCCAGCCAGCCAGTGAGTGAAAGGTGGATACGCACCTGGATGCACTCTTCCAAGCAGCTGCCTGAATAGCTTATTTCCTACCCCCTCCCATTACACACACACACACACACACACACCACACACACACACACACACACAGTCCCAGATAGGCGTGGCGAGGCCCACGCAGACTCCTCTCCAGCCTTGGCCATGTACGACGCTTGTAAACAGCCCAAATTTGGACAAGGATTCCAGCCAGATAGCGGTGTGCCCCAAACGTGAGTCCGGTGTGTGTGTTCCCCCCCCTCGCCGCTTTTACCGTCAAAGCAGCTCGCAGAGAGAGTTGGAGACTTTACAGGCAGCTTTTAGAAAGGGGGAAGCCTCGGTCTGAACGTTATCAAGAGATCAAAGTTTTGGGACGCAAAGCAGGGATTTGAACTCCCAAGTCCTGGGTCTAAAAAGGGATCCCAGAATGACATTTAGCAGTAGTAATACCAACAGGATTGTTGTCATATCAACATAGCATTGAAATCTATAACGGTGTCCATTTTCAGAATACCATGCATTTTGCAAATCATGTCCACGCTCTTTTTTGGGGGGGATGGCTTCTAAAATGTTGCAGTGGAAAGAGTTGGCGCTGTCGTGACTGGAGATATTCAGTAGCATGAGAGCAGGGGGGCATTTTAGTCGAGTGAGAGCAGGGGGGCCTTTTGGGCATTCCCGATTTGTGAAATCCCTGCCACTTACTGTAATAACTGAGCTCTGAAACTGTTTCCGTCAAAAGTGTTTCACTAATTTGGTCCAGCTTTAATCCTGTCATTCCTGTGTACAATGTTTTGCCCAGCTAGGCCATGTTTCTTTGTTGACAGTCACCTTGTTATCTGGCTGGCTTTTAAGCGGGTGACATTTTAACCCCTAGATCGTCATTGAGGTCACTGCGGCGCTGGCCCAGCAGCCCCTAGTCCTCTGAACAGAATGTCTCAACTCCCTACAGCGCTCTCCCTCTCCTTTCTCTCTATCTTCTCTCTCTCCCTCTCTCTCTACTACAGATAGTTGGCCTTTCATCCCTTTTACCTCTCAGCCTCTAGGCAGGGAACGCCCCCAGCTAGCATGCGCACACAGTTGCTGGCTCACTCCCACATTTCATTTATTGTACTGTTATGGTTTCTCTTTGGATGCAACCTAAAATTAGCAGATTTACAGCCATTTTGTAGTGTCGTCGCTTAGGCCTAATGTTTTTCCCTTCTCATGTTTGTGCTCCTTGCCTCTCAAGTCCTGGCATGCGCATTTGAAGGATAAGAAAGCTCCTTTTGAATTTCTGACTTACCGGTTTCTTGTTCTTAGTATGCATAGGATTTGCCTATTCCAGAGGACTAAATACTGAGTCGAGGGTATAATGGCGAGTGCGTTTTGGGTAGCTCAATGGTCTTTTCTGTCTAACCACATTTCACTGGAATGAAATATCAGTCATGTTGTCGAGAGCGGCACAAATCTATAGATACAGCCTTTGAATGGGACAGCCTAAAAGAGGAAGTCTGAAAAGTCAAATTGTGCATATTTTTTTGCATATGAGCTGTCGGAGAAAACCCAAAACATCCATCTCAACAGAAATCGTACGCACGGAGGTATTCCAAACACCTCGGCTATGTCCTGGCATTTTGGGCATGCTACCCCCGCCAACATTCACCAACAATTTCTGGAGAAGTGAGGAGATTCATCAAAAGGAGTTGACCGCTGCCCCTCTCTTTAAAACAGGCCATGAGGCAGCCCTTACTGACATCACCCACTCCCTGTCAGCGGGGTCAACCGGGTACACACACACACACACACACACAGGTGCTGCTAGCTGGTTTCTGACACTCTGAGGAAGGCATCACACAGAAACATAAGCCAACCTGCATGTCCCTGAATGCTCATGATTTTTCTCCTTTTGGGGTAGTCACACTGAAGTTTCTTAGTGTTTAAATGTTGGACTTTTCTAACGTACTTTCTATTTCTCTCCCCCTCCTTCAGGCGTGCATAGATGACAACGTGGACATGGTGACGTTCCTGGTGGAGCATGGGGCTGCCATCAACCAGCCCGACAATGAGGGCTGGATCCCCCTCCACGCCGCAGCCTCCTGTGGATACATGGACATAGCAGAGTAAGTACAGCTGCTGGGCCAGAGAGGTGTAATGGCTGACGTGGTGAGGGTCCAGCTGGGGGCTGTTATGGACCTTTAGGGAATGGCTGCACCCCCCCCACACACTTTACTGCATTGGGATAACCCCATTATGTACCAGCCCTTTCACATTGTTGTCTAACGACTCACCCTGAATTAAATTCTGCTGCTCTGATCGCTACGTACATGATCGTATACATTCATCGTGGAGAAGAAACGTCAGTTTGGCCAGAGCAACATGGATGGCTAGCCAGGCAATTCACCTTGAGCAAACTCATTTTTCTCAATGGAGGCAATAACTCACAGGAACTTAAAAAATCAATGGTCAGTTTTGAAATGTAACAAGTGTTTATTTTGCGTCGCCAAGCGTTACAAGGCTATTCCCTGAGGTTTCATTTGGAGAACATCCATTACCCCATCCTGTCTAGACTCATCAATTTGTTGTAAATCACTAGTCAGGTTAGTTAGGTCATCAATTAACCCTTTCTATTCAATCGTCTTAGACTATGAAATGCAATGCTAATCAACTAAATCCTAATAGCTACTTTTTATACAGCCTAAACTTGTTAAGGGTCACCGTTTTCAATAGCCCATGCTTCTCCAAGGTGCATGATTACATGTTGATGGGCGCAACCGCCTATCAGAGGGCCCCAACAACCTCGCACAAGTTCCTGGTGATGTAATCAATATAGAGAAATCGGGGTGTCCACCGGCATCAGTCATTACTCCAGTTGCTTTCCAGTCTTTTCTTTCATTGTGCTTATTGAGGTAAGAAGGCTGTTTTAAAGGGAACAGAAACCGGGCCGGCGAGGAGGGAGGTATTATCAGTAGACATTTTAAACAGGCTAAGGAGAGCTGAAGGAGCTCACTTGCACCCATTGTGCAGTGACCTGTTTTACTTCTCTGTATTGTATTACAGGAGCCTGGCATGAGCGTTATCGCACACTGTGCAGTCCTGCTGCCCAAGTTAGAGCAGAAGTATCATACTATGCTACCAAGGTTATTGACTGACTGGAATGTTGCCTTTTTATGGTGTTTCATCAGCTGCAATTGTTTGTTGTAATTCCAAGAGCTTTCTTGTAGGTATTACCTGGAAGTTCTGTCCTTCAGACTTCCCTCTCACCCCTACGGCAAATTAGTTTATTAAAAATATGTACAAAAGCTGTCGAACGTTCAGTTTAATCATTTTCAGACGGTGGTGTTTGTCGATTATTTTCATACAGTGGAGTCTACCTTATTGTCCCATTTTCTCCATATATCAGGGCTAGGCTGTTGTTGAAGACAAGGGCTCTCTTTTGTTTTACACAATGCAATGAGGAATGAAGGAAAATGTGAAGGGCCTTGTCTGATATGGATGACTAATGGAGTGCTCTGGTCTTGGGCGACTCTGGGCCCTGATGTGGGTGGTAGGAGCACATAGCAGCACCATTTTACCCCACAACACTGTCCCGTAATGAGGCCTACAGAGCCGGAAAGGCAATGGCAGCCTTTTCCGCCAAGCCCTTTGGTGTCAAACCGACAGCCATCCGATGGCAGTAGTGCTGAGCGATTTAACCAACATTTCCGTAACTTTTTTGGGCTTTAAACAACTAATTGACCATGTGTTTAATTATTTGAATTCCATTTTGTTCGTTTTTTCTGTGAGCTCAATGCACAGTTTCTCCAGATAAATCAGATCAAGCCCGAACTGTGTGATGTAGTAGGGAGTTGTAGTTTCCAACAGGCCAATATTCTACATAGTTTAGCGCAGAAAACATGGTGATGACCTACAATGACCATAATCCATTGCGAGCCTACTTGTCCAGTCTACAGCACAGACCGTCTGTTGGGCAGACACAGAGAAGAAACAAGAAGAACACGGATAGAGCAGTTGCTTCGAGGTATCTTTGCCTGAAAATACATGATCTATGTGATAGTTGGTATTCGGCAGTCATAAAAGTAGGCTTTATTTACTTGGAAAAACTACAAAAAATAGAGATTTTGTCAGACAGCATAGGCAGCAGCTCTATAGAGATGAGGACTTGGAATGAAATAAGTAATCCAATGAAACAAATAATGTAGAGAACTTACATTTTTTTATTTAAGTAATGTGAATAAATGATTTCACAAGTAATAAGCAGTAGGGCTGGGCGGGATACCATATTTGACTATATACCGGTATTGATGCACAGACCGGTTTGGGTTTTTACTTCACCTTCTATAACAGTATTTGGTTTGTTAAATGTGAATGTGATGCGTAATGTCAGTATTTATAGTTTACTCTGTTTGCTACTTGCAAGTCGTCGCTCCTGCATGCCGCTTCCCACACCAAGCCCTGCCCCCTGTCACTCAAGGAGAGCAGTTCTTGGTGTTGCTCGACCACAGAGTCACGAGCACTTCACTTGCCGTTCACTCTGCAGTCTGCATGGTCAGACGCAACGATGTTGGTAACAAGTATGCTGCTTTCAAAGCCTTCTATAATTACACTATTAGTTTGTATCTTACTTTCTGCAAACAGCTAGTTTGTCTTTCCTTAGCACATTGTTAATAAAATAAAATGTGTTAGCCGCTAATGCTAATTGCTAGTTACCTAGATGGCTAATACAGCCTGATACCAGTGCTGGTGTAGACCTAGATCTGCATGTTTGTGTAATGGTATCTACTAAATCAGAGGAATAGGCAAAGCATGAATGTTAGCTAGCCAGCTATATAAAGAAGAGGAACGTAACACCGTATAGGGTCCCCTGGGAAATGCTGACCAACACTTTGGTTCCGACCCTTACACAATAATTCCTCCCTGGCTTATTCATTTGTTGTCATGTCAAATAACAATGTATTAAAGGTGCTGCCCACTATATTCCAACTATTGAATTACAATAATTTGAATTACATTCTATTTCCATGATTCCAACAGTACGCCAATAAACTAGGCCTAGATATTTTGCCCATATCATGCAGTCCTACGTGGCACAGTGAGGAATTGATGAAAATGCTGATTTTGTTTGAGGGGGACGGGTTGGATTGAACAGTATAAAACAAACAGAATGGAGAAAGCCCCATTTGAAATCACTTATGTATGTGTTGCCACCCTAGGGTCACGAACTACTCGTGAAGTATATTTAGAAATGTTTTTATTAGAACTTAAAATACTGTCGAGTACGTCATATATATATATATATATATATATATATATATATTTATTTATTTATTTATTTTTTCTCTTGTGATAAGCTATTTTGGCCATATCTCTCCCAGCCGTAATAAGCAGTATTGTGCAGTCACCACCATCTTGGGACTTTTATTAATTGTTTTATTCTGTGTTACAGCATTCAACCCACATAATGCATAGTACATTTAATGGCAAATAAAATCCTGAAATCGAAAACCGTGATTTATTTTTTAATAATCAAACCGAACCGACCTCAAAAAGCTTGAATCGCTCAACACTAGACACTGGCAGGGTGAACTCCTAACCACAAGGCCCAACCACACCTTGTAAAACCCAGCTAAAATGGGTCGAAAGTGAATTCAAAAGAATGTGGAACTCTAAAATGTAACGGCGGTCGCTGAATCTCCATTACGAGGGAAGTTACCGGAATGCGCCGTTTTCAAGTGGTGTGTTCTAATGAGAAGGGTCTGCGTATCTCCATGGCTTTAATTGGTAGCAGCAGGAGTCAAGATCTCCTCCTGCTGTTCCAAGAGCCACTTGAATCAGCCAGCGCAGGGTGAGAAATCAGTGAGGAAAGATAAATGGAGTGTGATTGACCAAAAAGGGTGATTCACTAGGCTAATTATGCAGTGAATATGTGTGAACTGGTTGTCTGATTTTAGAGGCAGGGTACTAGAATGACATCATTAAACTCCTCAGGTGTTTAGGTCAGTGGAGGGATACAACAGGAAACCCTTCAGGTGAATATGGTGTAATTGCAGACTGCAATTCGGGGTGTTTCTTGATATTAGGAAACGCCAATTCATACCTGCCGTTGGTCAGTTCCGGAGACTGATGGTTTCTCATCACAGATTTGTTTACACAGCAGGTTAGGATAACTAACATGGCAGGTTAGGTGAATTAGCGTGGCAGGTTAGGTGAATTAGCGTGGCAGGTTAGGAGACTGAGGTTAAGGTTAGGAAAAGGGTTAGGCTTAGCTAAAATGCTACAGTAGTCAACCACTGTTGTCCCCGACGAGAAAGAAACGTCCACGGACCAATGGCGAGCATCAATGGGTGTAACTTGATATCAAGAAACGCCTATGTCAGAAAATGCCCCTAATTGCGGTCTGCAATTACACCATTCTCCCTCAGGTGGTTAGGTCAGTGTAGGGATATGTGCCTGGCCTTACCCAAGGTTGGGGATTTCTGCTACCAGTGGGTTGTGACCAGGGTTTCCATTAGCCGGTAATAGCTGACTGAAGTAAGTAAATGAAAAAGCTGATGAATAAAATTGGCGCCGGCCAATTGTCCTGGCAAAATAATGCTTTTTAGCCTATTAATTGATGGAAATACCTGTCTATGTAAATACATTTGAGTAGTCAGGCTTATCGGTCTATAGGTTAATTTGCATAATTTAGTGGAATTAAATGGGTGCGTGTACAGTATATTCATTATGTATATTTTTTTATCACAGGAATACAGAGCCTTTGAGCGGAAAATCTGTCAGACCGCAAGAGCTGCAGCTACAGCATCTCAAACGGCAAATGTATAGACAACAGAAGGCAGGCTTCATCAGCGCGTCACACCACTTTGAAATGAGCTGAAGGCAGTATGCATTTTGAGAACATATGCTTAACTGTTGGAAACCTGAACGTTTTACTTCAAAGTAGCCTAGCCAAAATCAGACCATGTCCGTGGAGGCAATTATTTTATCAACTTTTTCATTGTCCAGTAGCCAAAGGCACAATCCTAGTCATATTAGCAACCCATGCTAGTTGTTGCATATTAAAACTCCCCTCTTTCTAAATGTCTAACATATATTTTCATCTGTCACATTTAGGGCTGACCCCATTTAGTCGACTGGTCGACAGGCTGTTGGTCGACCGAGATTTCTTTAGACGAGCAGTAGCAAAAAATAATCATGGTGTGCAAGACACCTGTCTGATTGGCTCCTGTCTGAGTGGACTGATCCATTGTGGAGGCCTTGGGGATGGCACAGTCCATCAGACGAAGACATGTGCTACTGAAATTGTACATGGTTATATTATGTAAGAACAATGGTGCAACGCAAATAGAAATGATATTATTTTATAACAAATGCGCTTTCTCCCGCCTTGGGTAGTGGTCACTGTCTGCGGTTCTGAAACACATCATGGCGCTGTTGAATTGCCGCCTTTTCCTAGACCATGTTGCTATGTGCATAATTTCAAAGTTAACCAGCATATTGGTGTTAAGAACAATGCGTCGGAGGCAGCAGTGGAGTTAGGAGACGAGAAAACACCCCTTGCCTTAATTGTGTAAGAAAAGTGAGGAGAGAGGAAACCCCAATTTAATTAGGTCTATAATCAATAGCCTAACTGTTTAAATGTGCATGACTTTTATAAATCATCCATAATATCTACAGAAACAAGACAATTCCTGCTTCTGTTGCCTGTTTGAGTGTTTGTTTAATAGCCTACTCATTCTGAGAGCACCAAGCCTCACGCCACCACATGTCAGATAAATCATCTCACAAATTCGGCTGTTTTTAAATCTTTGCTAGGCGTTACACTTTTTTTCCTGTTAGACCAACCTCTGGTATTATTTATCATTTATTTAGTGTTTACACTATTCCAAATTTGTATAAATTATATTTATAATAAAAACCCACATTTTTCTTTGACATTATTATAATAATAATAATAAGTAATGTCATTATCAATAGTAGGCTTAATATAGCTCCCGAGTGGCGCAGCGGTCTAAGGCACTGCATCTCAGTGCTTGAGGCATCACTACAGACCCCCTTGTTCGATTCCAGGCTGTATCACAACCGGCCATGATTGGGAGTCCCATAGGGCGGCGCACAATTGGCCCAGCGTCGTCCGGGTTTGGCCGGTGTAGGCCGTCATTGTAAATAAGAATTTGTTCTTAACTGACTTGCCTAGTTAAATAAAGGTTAAATAAATAAATTAAAAAATAGCAGCCTTGTATAACCACCATCGAGATGTAGGCCTAAGAGCGCATCCTGTTTAGTCTTAATACCGTAACTTAGGCGTATATTTCAATACTTACAGTATATAGGCTACTGTATCAATCAATCATTTATTTGTTCATGTCATCAAACAGCATATGAGTCATTCATGCTTTTAAATGCAATCAAACATTTATTTTAAAATAACAAAGTGACCATTGAATAATTAGAGTAAACAATAAATAGACCTTAACCATTCCATTTCGGGAATTGAATTCACAAGTGAATGCGACTGTTTTTAGCCTTTTGCTGTAACAAGGCTTTACAACAAACAAAAAAACTTTACAACCTACTCTATTATAGGGCGTTTGTTTCCAAACGGTCAGAAAAATGATATTGTAAACCATCGGCACCTGTTTGGCACACATACGCATGCAGCACTTACTCCTTACCTTCTTTTTCTTGATCTCCAGTATTTACAAGTCAAATTTATTTCACAGAACTGACTTCCCCCATTACCTCCTGAGCAACCAGTTTCGAGTTTATTTGTCAAGTCCTCTGCATCCATTTTTCTGTCACATGTGTTACGGTGTTCAGAGTTTATAACCAATTTGTGGATATGATATGCTATAGGTCAGGCCCTATTGGTCACGTGCATTTTTATTTTATTTTTATTTAACATTTTTAGTTAACTAGGCAAGTCAGTTAAGAACAAATTCTTATTTACAATGACGGCCTACATTGGCTGGGCCAATTGTGCGCTGCCCTATGGGACTCATAAAGAGAGCAAGGGTTGAGGGAATAGAGAATATTTTTCCTAAACAAATGAGGGATTTCGGTGTAAACTTTTCAGCCAGAAAGGGCTGTAATTGTGTTGCAGCACTGACAGCGCGATACACACTGATGTTCTGTGGTGGTCACTGCAGCAGGGAGGAGAGGGCGACAATGGGTGCTAGTCAGTCACTCAGGATTTTTTTATTTATTTTTTTATTACAGCACAGCAAGTCTTAGCCAGGCCCAGCACAATCAAATCAATTGCGGTCGGACTCCCTCTTGTCATTTTGTCTTAATTATATCATCAAACAGTTCACTTAAAGCATCAGACAAGCTCAGTGCATATAGTTGATATGATTAAAACACATAGGATGTGTCTATATAAGGAAAAAATACACGGTTAGAAATTTCGACCAATCGATTGGTCGAAAGAACCGACGACTCTCGGACGACCAAGATAAAAAAAAAAAAAAAATGTTGGACAGCCCTATTCACGTTAAACCGCTAGCATGTGCGGTGCGCTTTTGACAAGTGTTTTCCCGATAATTGTATTATTGAACTAACATTTGCGCGTTGCCTACTGTGTTGTGCGCATATAGTTGAAATAACAGTTGATCAACATTTTAAGCTAAACTTTCTGATCTGTTGCAATTATTCATTGCTTTTTAACGTGATATATTTTTTTTTTATGTAGCGTAGGGCTACTGGTTGTATGAATTTGTGATCTATCGTTCCACAACTGTCCCAGAGGCTGTTTGGAATTGGCTATTTCTTTCTCGACAAGCTGACCAATAGAATAGGTACATTTTCTCTACTATTGGGATAGTAGATTGACAAAGGCTAGTGATTTTGCTCTTGGTTACTCGTCTTGTTGGCTGAGGAAAAGTCAATGTGGACGATTATTCTAACCTCTTCAAAGTGCGAATCAGATTTCGGTAAGAAGGACCACACCGTTGATCCTCGACTTGCATGTTCTGTTAATATGAATTACCATAATCTAAATGTGATTTCTGTCGTTCTGAGCACCGTCTGGTAAATTTAAAATGCTGCCGGTCAAATGTCCAGCGCCACATTTTCCTAACGGAAACCTGGTTGTGACGTACTGGTTTTCTTTAATATATTCACTCGACTGTTTCCCTGCAAGTGAAGGAACAAATTATTGACAGAGTTATGGTAATTGGTAAATGCATCTATTTTCCAATCCTGGTAAATGTGTCTTGCTAGAATTTGGCCCATTTTTGTCTTCAAACTTTTCATAGGCCTAGGGTAGTAGCTTATAGAGGCCTACTACATAGAATGAGATGGGCATGATTTCCTTGGCATTTTGATTGAACCTTTATTCACCTGGGTTAAATAAGAGACCTGATCCATCCATATTGATTCAGTGAATAATTAATTTACTACTACTGAATGTTACTAATACTACTTAGACGACTACTTACCTGTCCTAAGCAAGTGTGTTTGTGCAGGTTTCTGATCGGCCAGGGGGCCAGCGTGGGGGTGGTGAACAGCGAGGGGGAGACGCCACTGGACATTGCTGAGGAGGAGGCCATGGAGGAGCTCCTGAAGAATGAGATCAACCGACAAGGTACAGACGGACCGCAGCACTGACTCACTCTGTCTGCCCCACACTGACCTGCTAGTCAACAACGACTCTTTCACTTCTGCTTTCAGTTGAACCATTGCCTGTCAAACATTGTCCACCAAGCATATCATTAATGGGACTTTTTATATCGATATGTAATTGGAAGGGAAGTGCTCAAAATGACACAATGGAAATGTTTTTCATAAAGTTTTCAAATTAGATTACTTTTTAACGACAAATGTGTGCTGCTACTTTGCTTGCATCATTCTGTGTTTTCTACAGACCAGGCAGTTATGCATTGCCTTTCCAAATAGACCGGTTAAGGGAGAAGAGAGTTGTTGTGTGTGCAATGGATCGTGGTCAATTCATCTAGGCCGCTGTGGCCTCCAGTCATATCAGGCAAAAAGTCTTGGCAGGCCTCCAGTGGCGTGCACTCAGCTTTGTTCAATAGCACTGCAGCCGCCACGGCCAACAGCTCACTGGTCTGGTCTGACTCCCCCTTCACTACTCCACCCAATATCCCGCTTACGTACATGATGTTCAGGTATGTCATGCGTGTACAGTGTCATCAAGGATTTATGAAATCGAGTGAGACCCAGAGTCCCGGCAGCTGCGACGCTTTGCCTCAGTGGAGAAGTTACATAATGGAGATTAATGTGATCCACTTAAACTCTGGGTTTCTCTTTGTGATGATTCTAAACTGGATGGAAGGGTTTTTCAATTTTTGGGCCTGTGTGTTCTTGAGATGATGAAATGTACCCCCCTCTGGTGGGAGTCCTTGTTCAGATGTGCTAATGGCCCCGGGGACAAACCGCTCCTCTGCTCATGATGCCGCTGCGTTGTCGGCAGATGATGGCGTTCTCCTTTGCCTAGTAGCCATTCCAAATGCGCCTCTCTTTTCAAATCCACTAAGTGTGGCTGGACACCTTTGCACTGTTTACATTGTTAGCCATGCTAGCCACCCAGCCATAATTAGAAGTTAGGTAGCAGCTTAGCTTGTCAGACAGCAGGCCCACCCCCTCTGTCATTTGCACCCTTGTCTGCTGAGGTTGCGCCTCCCCTGAGGTGTAGACCAGTAATAGAACTAGGGCTGTGCGATATGGCCAAAATATCATGTCACATTATTTGTTTTAATGTTTTCACGGTATACATTTTTTAATAATAAAAGTTCTAAATTTGCTTTATGAGTATTGCGTGACCCTACAGTGGCAACACATACATTCTAAGTGATTTCAACAGGTCTTTCTCCATTCTGTTTTATACTGTTCAATTAAACTTCAACCTAAAATAATTTCCTGCATTTCCATCAATTTCTGCATTTCCTGAACTAATTTGAGAATTTCCACACTGCCACATAGGGCTGCACGATATAGGCAAAAAAATTAGGTCTTATTTTTAACCAAATGTTGCAATTGCGATTTGACTTGCGATTTAGATCAAAACACTTGGGTGAACTGTTGGAATCATGGAAATAGAATGTTTATTCTAATTCTATAGTTAGAATATAAGTAATAGTTGGCATTTTGAATAGTGTTAAATGCCCAGGAGGAGTTATTGTGACAGGGTAGGAACCAAAGTGATGGTCAGTGTTTCCTAGGGGACCCTATAATCTTTGGCTACATTAAATGTATCTTCATGTAGCCAACATATTCATGCTTCGCCTATACCTCTTTTGATTTAGAAGATACTGTTGCACAAACAACATGCAGATTTAGGCCTACACCATCACTGGTATCATGCTGTGTTAGCTAGCTACGTTTGCTCTGACAGTACATTTATTAGCTAGCTAGCTAACTAACTAGCGGTTAGCATTAGCGGCTAACATGATGTAGCTAAAACGTACTAAGAAAAGACAAACTAGCTGTTTGCAGATGTATGAAACACAAACGAAGTGTAATTATAGAACGCTTGTGGATTTATATTAAGAAGCAAAGTAGAAACATCGTTGTCCCAAGCCTTTTTTAAATATGCAAAGCGTTATCTGATCAGTGACACTACAGATTTAAAAAATTGTCGAAGGGCAGTTACACTGGCAATTAGTTTGCAGTAGTTGCAGCACGAATGGAATGCCCAGGCTGTTGGATGGAACTCTACATAGGGAATGAATTCATGCGCATTGTTCTTGACCTTACCACAATAAGGGCTAGAGCAGCTCTCCATTCACTGTGTTCAGTAAGGTACAGTTATGGAACAGTGTTGTGCAACTCCCTCTATGTTTGTAATGTGATTTTATCCTCCTGTCTCATGGTCTCCTCTTTAACGAGATACCGTCATGGGATTAAACTCGTTAAGGAGCCACCACTGTTCCCCCACAGCCAGGCGGCTGGCCACAACTTCAGATCCCCTCTCTGCCTCCCAGACAGTAGCTCCACGCCGGCCAGGTGACTGGGCTGCCTGTAACCCCACTACTCCCTTTATAGCTGCCCATAAGGGCTGTCTCTGATACCCCCCCCCCTACAGTTGCCCTGCTCAGTGTCTTGGGGTTAATTTAGTTTTGGCTAGTCAGCAGGTTTTCCCTCAGCTGAATTTAGTCCTGTGTTGTCACATCCTCAGAGGTCCAGGCAACTTTCCTCTGTTTGCTCCAAGGCAGATTATTTTGGATATTTTCATTTTGGCTTTACCAGACCATATGTAGGCCTAGCTTTGAGAGAGTGGGAGGAGGGAGAGTGGTGGAGACTTAATGAGTCAGTTTTTGGTCTACTGGCTTTTCTCTGTTTATTTTCTCAGCATCCCGGTAGAAGGTGCAATATTCTCTTGTAAAATCAGCTTTGAATGTGTGCCAGTTCCTCCGCCAGGCTGCTGTTTTGTAGTCCTACTTAGGATCTATTAGTCTCCCTGCCTTTTTATAGAACCAGTATAGGCTACTCCCTAAAACAATTTCCCTGCACTCTAGTAAGCGATAGGCCCTATTGTAGCAGATGCAATAAACATTTATACAGGCCAATTACTGCAAGGCTAGTAATGTTGATAATGCCTTGAATAATAGACTTCCCTGCCTTGCTGGTTCATTTGTAAAACATGCATATCTCTCACCTTTTGTACCACAGTCCACGCGTTCCACTCATACAAGCTTTATGCGCTGCAGCCCAGCCGAATAAAGGACTAATTGAGATCCATTATGACAGCAGTGTATTGTGTGTTACACTGTAATGGCATCACATGGGCTGGACTAAAGGGCAAAGCTTTACTGAACACTGCAGCCATGGTGCCATCTGCCCCAACTCTAACCCAAGGCCAGCCTGAACCCATTGATTCACTTCTGTATTGGAAAAAATCTGTTTAATTGGACCATTCATCATGCAGTGAGTCAGGGATTTCACTCGTAGACCCTCACCCATCCCCCTTTCAAATGGGGTTTGTTTATTCCATGCAGCTAGACGTCATAGTGACCCAAGGTGTTGTTGATGAAAGGGATGGAAAACTCAATGCAAAGGCTTATAGTTTAGCTAAAAGTATTTTTGTCACAACCATTAACTCCTACTGCACAATGAGAAAGTAAAACCGAACTGTGGTGAGCTGCAAAACCGAACTGTGGTGAGCTTTAATTTCTTCCCACGATTGAAATGCAGCATGCAGACAAGCGGTGCTCTGTCAGTGAATTTGTGCAGGAATTTTTACCAAGGTCCCCTAGCTGACAGATCTACGTCCCATCGTCCCTTGTGTTCTCCTCCGCTGGCGCCAGGCCAGAACTTCTGGCTGGAGTTAACTGCTCCCTGTCCATCCAGCCTAACACTGTCAGACAGTTGGAATCTTCTTTTGCCCTTTTATTTAGTCACGCTTCAGCTCACTAATCTCATCAACCATGACAGGTACAGTGTTAACAAGGCACTTAACCAGCGCTGATTTAACCAATGTCGATCTGTTTCTGAATAAAATCAGACTATTCCTGGACCTTATGATATTTGATCTTTGTCAAAATCTTGTTTCTTTTTTAATGCTGCTTGACTCTCCTTGGCCCTCTCATGAATGGAAAAATAAAGTAATTTCATGAACGGATAGAAAAAGAAAGTCCAGCCTTTTTTGCAGGAGCTGACAAATGAGGGATGATGGTCATCATACGAGGAACCCAAAACCTATAGGACCAGCTGAAGTGTAGTTGGCTTCCACCCCAGAGCACTTATACTCATTGTTTATGTAGTTGAGCACAATCAACTCACAGCTGAGTAGTCAGACGCACCTTCACCAGTCGCTCCAAATTTCAGCTGTCTCGCGTTCCAGTCGAGTGTCAACAAGACATTACACGCCTGTTCCTGCTACAGCCTGTATCCTGTATAGTGCCAGCCTATACCTTAGACATACTGACCCACATGGAAAACTTAGGCCCCATGTTTGCTCTCAGTCCCAGAGCAGTGATAACATTTACAAAATATAGAAATAAGCAATTTGTCAGAGGTCAGACACTCCACATCAGCCTCTAGTGTAGTCTATGGAAAAGAGTGCTAGCTTTCCTCCCACTCACTTTGCACAACCAAGTGGAGTATTTGCTTAAACTACATGCCTGCATGGCTTGGATTTTGACATCTCACCATACAAAGGATGTCAAATGTCCATAGCTCGCTTACAACACTGTGTAAACCATAGGGAGATTTTAGCCTGTGCTTGTGTAATATTCCAGGGCAGATTTCTGCTGTGTAAAGGGTTTCTGCCGCATTTTGACTTTTCATCCATTGTCGTTAGTTTCAAATGAAACTCTGGACTGTAGTTCCCCATTTTGAGTGTGTTCAACGTATTCACTTAAGGCCATGTGTGTCAAGCATGTGTATATGGTGTGTCCAGTTTCAGCTAATTTCAGGGTTCCATTTTCATGTCTTTTGAATCACTTCTGTAATGTTCTAATGTTGGTTCCCTGGGGTTTAATGCCAGACAGGCAGCATTATTTCCTGACTCTTTCTGCCTTCTGCTGCTCTTTGTAGCCTAGATAATCTCAAGTGTTTATAGGGACGTGCCTCTCTTTAAGTAGCCGTTAATCCACTGAGGCCAGACTAACAGTGGTCACCGTTACACTCCGCCCCCCACCAGGCGTGGACATCGAGGCGGCCAGGAAGGAGGAGGAGCGGATCATGCTGAGGGACGCCCGGCAGTGGCTCAACAGCGGAACCATCAACGATGTCCGACACGCCAAGTCCGGGGGGACCGCACTCCACGTCGCCGCCGCCAAGGGATACGCAGAGGTTTTAAAGTAAGTCCAGACTCCTTACCTCGCCTTTACCTCTAACAAGCTGTCGCCAATCTTTGGATATTTTTTTTATTATAGACGTATCACCTTTATTAACACAGATTTTTAAAAGATATTTCCACGTACATATTGTCGTTATTTTAGTCCGTGTTAGGTATTTGTTGTTCTTAGGTGGATGCTGCTTATAGCCATGTCCCTTGTGGGATTTTACTACATTACTGTATCAATGGTTATCAAGAGCACATCTCCAGCTCTGGCCTGTCAGTACAGACAGACTGCCTAAGGTAGGGACTACAGCACCCTATTCATCTGCTCCTGGGAATGCAGCCAACAGTCTCCCACACACTCCACTGCCATAGTTGGCTAACACTAACATCTACCATGTTGAGTACCAGATACTCTGAGAGAGGTCAACATTTTTCCTGTCCTGCAAGACGTTTATTGACTGAAATATGGTTCTTAAACCTTTTGCACAAATGTATTTGCGCTTATGCAAATAGTTGATAGAATACTTTTTGGTTTATTTGTGCCTAACTAATAGGAAATACAGCCATAATGCTGGCACAGTAACAAAAGCCTGGACACTGGCAACGACTGATAAGATTAGGTTGCAGCACCAAATCCAAGAAAACAAGATTTAGCTAAATCTCATAAACACTATGAGATTTAGCTAATCCCACCCCCCCTGTGCCCCCCAGGCTTTTAATCCAAGCAGGGTATGATGTAAATATTAAAGACTTTGACGGCTGGACCCCGCTCCACGCTGCTTCACATTGGGGCAAAGAGGAGGCCTGCAGGATACTGGTGGAGAACCTGTGTGACATGGACCTTATCAATAAAGTGGTGAGTAGTACTTCTACTGAGTCTCCGTCCTCTTTCCATACCTTCTAAGGTTCAGTTGAATATGGAGCATGTACTGTACTCTTCATGTACAGTACTGCACATATGTGCTCTTCTCATAACACTAGTTCTGAGAATTGTGTGTTTCCTCTTCAGGGTCAGACAGCTTTTGATGTGGCAGATGAAGATGTCCTTGGCTACTTAGAGGAATTACAGAAGAAGCAGACTCTGGTAAGCCAGTGTGTGTGGCTAATGCTTTCGTAAGAGCTTTCATTTGAGCCTGGATGAACTGCATAACCTGTTATTATAGCTTTCAAAAGTGAAACTGAGTCACTGGTATATGCCTTGCAGGTGTAAGCATTGCAGAAGCCCTTGATCAAATCTGACAAGTTCTGGCGTTAGGTACTAACTGCCGTCAATCATTATGCATTTTCTTCTCCCATTGCAGCTCAATAGTGAAAAGAAGGATGTTAAGAAGTCTCCCTTGATAGAAACGACAACCACTGGGGACAACAATCAAAATCTAAAATCCATTAAGAGGTAAATGTCCTGGTCGGGGGGAAATGGGGTGACATAAGGGAGTCACTCAGTGAAAAACGGTCCTATAATGGATTCTCAGTCTTTTATGCATCAATCCCCAGGGTAGGTCTAGGCCACGGGGCAAACCATGGTTAAAGTGCCTGTTAGCGCTAAGTCATTGAGGCACTCTGATAATACAGAGGTGAATGAGTTTATGGGTAATGTTACTCTGAAATGGAGCACATGTCTTTGTAGTCTAATAATAATGAATCCATGCAGGCTGAAAGTACCAAACGTTCTGTGTGTGTTCCAGCAAAGAGACCCTCCTCCTGGAGCCCGAGAAGCCCGCCCCGCGCATCGAGACCCTGGAGCCGGAGAAGGTGGACGAAGAAGAGGAGGGCAAGAAGGACCAGGAGTCCAGCTGCTCCAGCGAGGAGGAAGAGGAGGAAGACTCTGAGTCTGAGACTGAAGCCGGTACGTTCCACCTACTGTAATGGTACAATAACCTCAATGGCAGGCAGGGTGTTTCTAAACCTTCACCTGATTTCAATCTAAGCCATTAGCACAGAGTCCAAGTCTGAAGAAGACCTTAGACCCTGTATACATTAGTTGAACACATTGTAAATGTTGTAGTGTTTTGTAGATGTACTCTTTTGAACTGTGTCTGTATACACTTATTGCAACATCATCATGAACATTGTTGTCTGTGACATCACCTATGGTCGTTATCTTTATGAAAAAGTATAAACACAAAAACGACAGTCTGCATGACATCAGCAAAATATGGTCCAAAAAGCATTCCTGCTCTATTTTAACACCAACAAACCCATCCGTTAAAAAAATTATTTGGTACATGTCAATCTAGCAAGCCAGACAACTAAAAATACACATTTCTAAAGAGGGGTTTGGCGCTAGCAATTTAGCTAGCTAGCTAACCAGTTCATATGATCATCAGACCAAATCTTACAAACAACAGTTGCAACGATGGTCTGCAGACAGTCGACCTGAGTATAAATTATACCCATCACTATCCCTGTTATCGAATGTTGATTTTTGCCAACGACACTTGTCTCATTTGTGGTTAGACTAAGTATAAACCAGCCTTTATGCATCAGTAACTGGGGCGGCAGGTAGCTTAGTGGTTAAGAGTGTTGTGCCAGTAACCGAAAGGTTGCTGGTTCTAATCCCCGAGCCGACTAGGTGAAAAATCTGTCGGTGCCCTTGAGCAAGGCACTTAACCCTAATTGCTCCTGTAAGTCGCTCTGGATAAGAGCGTCTGCTAAATGACTAAAATGTAAAAATTTAACTCATCCTATCTATTCCTCCATTCCAGACAAGAGCAAGATTCCTGTCCCTGTGAGCAACAGTAACGGCACTACTGTGGTGCCAGCGCCGACCAGCGTTACGGCGTCCTCCACCTCCCCAACCAGCCCCACTAACCAGGTGACTCCCACCTCGCCTGTCAAGAAGGTACGGCCTGGTGGATAGGTCCACTGCAGTCCTCCACTAGTCCTCTTCAGCCTCTTCTGCAGAGAGTTTATCACGCCTTTACAGCTCCCACTACAGAAGCACTCTTTCTAGAGATTCACATGACTGATCAAGTGGTTCCGTGTCCCAGAAGTTAGTTAGTTATAGAACCTAAGAGGAAGGTTTAACCGCTGATGCGTTAGGATGTAACCTGTCATCCGGGATACATATCCATGCCTGAGCTCACCGTTATACAGGTCGATATAATTCAGTCTATTTAGTTAAAGCTTTAACACAAACCCACGTTTCACGCTTGGCTCAAGTTACACAGGGTTTACTTAAAGGGGGTTACGTGGGATTTGACGCCCGTCACATGAGTAGTACAACACTTGGGTAGGTTTTGTTGTCGCCGCCGCCAAGGTACACTGTGAACAGAAACTAGTGTCACAGAGGCCCAGGGCGCTATAGTTACGATTAGTTGAACAGGAGCTCTGGTCTTCAACAAACATGGCAGTGGTTGTACATGGGGTGGGTAGCCATTGCTCGATGGTGTTAACGGTACACTGTAACACTGTTGACCACGGGTAAGGGCATCAGTCAGATATTTTAGCAGTGTTGATTATTACAAGACACAATGAGGATGGGGAATTTTATCATTCAAAAATGGCCCCACAGTTTCCCTATGTCTGCTGCCCTCTGCAGTGCAGATGTGGCATTGCAGCTGACTGAATGTACTCAGTGACCTCAGTAATACTGTGCCTTTCAGTGTTGGCCTGTTACTCTCTTTAGAGGGCACTTGTGCATTATCCCCTCATAAGACCTGAGGCGGTGGACTTTATAGTAATAGTAGTTTGTAGTATCTTGCCTTCAACACAACTGGCACAGTATCATTCAACTAGAGAAAATAACTGTTAAGCTACAAACAATACCCTGTCTATACTTCCCTTCTGTTTTTGCGTCTCGTTAAGGTCCAACATTTTGAAACGGTCACGTTTTCCCTTTGTAAGTTGAAGTTATGTGCCTAAGGAAATTTCTCCCATTGGATGTATCCTCCCATCTGATTGCATTTTCTTGGTGGACTCTGCATTCAAACCGAAGTCAAGACTATGAAATATACCCATCACTATCCCTGTTATCCATATTTCCTGTTATCTCTCTTGTAGAAATGCTCTCAATCCCCTCCTACTTTAATGCCTAGCACAGACACAACACAATGTCTTCTGTCTAACAAGAGTGATCAAAACAATTAACAATGTCCGCTTTGAGACTAGCATTGTCTTGTCTTTTCAAAAAGCCTCTCGTGTCCTGCGAGAGCTGTCACTCACTCAACCAATAGAAACGATTGACCCGCTGGTCAGTAAACCTTGTGTGGTGTGATCAGGCCTTAAAATATATATTTGTCTCTCTCCGTCTGTGCTAGGAACTGTATCTTTGCTGCTGCTTCTGTCTCTGTACTCTGTTTCTGTTTCTCTCTTACTCTCCCTTTCTACTAGTATTTTTGTCTCTCTGTCCGCCCCTCTCTCATCATGGCTCTTGTCTTGGTTGGCTTTAGTCTGATTATATTACTGCCCTCATGCCTGTGGCGGAGCCAAGCTGTCCTGCATTGTGGCGTCAAGGCTTGCGCAAAACTGGCATTTCTCTTGTGCCCAAAAAACCCATGGTGAGGCATTGGTGTGTGTTCCAGAGTTATTCGTTACCCTGCCCTTGTTACCTCCGCACCAAACGACAACTTGCCTAATCACCTAACCTCAATGGCACATCCAGTCAACACTCTTGATAACCCCCCTAGTGACATTTTGTTCTGCATGGGTCTTCAAACACACTGTCCTAAAATGCTTTCTCTGTGTGTCTGTGGCTCATGTGCTCCAACTAGTATGTGGTCTATTTGTCTCTGTTGCCGTTTATGTTTGCAGTGTAACAGTGTGCCCAAGGCTTGTGTTAGCCCTCTAAACCCTAACAGGTTGAATTGACCCAGTCCCATCCATCCATGCACTAACTGGAGTTTATCAGTGAACTGTGTTTATTCTCTTTGGTGTCTGATTGTAGACCTGCCGCTCAGTGTAGTTTGTACTCTGTCCCTCAGTCAAAAGTCTAATATCTGAGTTGATTTATTTTACCTTTTATTTTAGCTGGGAGTCCCATTTGAGACCAAGCTCTCTTTTTCAAGGGAGACGTCGACTAGATGTGGTTATATTATTTCTAGGGGTACAAGTCACTTGTAGTGTTTTCAGCATGTCTCCAGACTTTCAGTTCCCCCTTCAACATGCGCCTGTACTCAAAACGTCCCCTGCATTTTGTTGTCAATCCATGACACGTTCTCAAGCGCTGCCCGAGATCAGACAGTAGCCTCTGCAGATTCATTCCACACCAAAACTCCTTTGCTTTTTGACCTCTTGATTAACCTCTGTTGACTGCTGTGTTGTTCACCCCAGAAAACTAAACCCCGGACTGCTGCCTTCGTCTGCTCTCTGTATAAACCCCCTTTATTAACGAGTCTAAGCTAACCACTAACCCCTCTCTCCCTCTCTCCCCCAGGTGGCCCAGCAGGTGTCCCCTGCCGGTAAGGTCTCTCCTAAAGAGGTCTCCCCTAAAGATAAACAGGAGGATGACAAGACTAAGAAATCGGACGTGTCCCCGGCGTCGTGGCGCCTGGGCCTGAGGAAGACAGGCAGCTACGGGGCGCTGGCGGAGATCACAGCCACTAAGGAGGCCCAGAAGGAGAAGGACACAGCCGGGGTGATGCGCTCGGCCTCCAGCCCCCGCCTCTCCTCCTCCCTGGACAACAAGGACAAAGAGAAGGTCAGTAGCTAACTAACGCCACACTGTCTGACCCAGGCATCAGTCCCCATCTGACCCAGGCATCAGTCCCCATCTGACCCAGGCATCAGTCCCCATCTGACCCAGGCATCAGTCCCCATCTGACCCAGGCATCAGTGCCATCATAATGTGTCCCTAACTGACCTAGTCATTAGTGCTGACACTATATCATCATATACTTACTGTATGTCCCTGTAGGACCCACTCAGTACCCCTACTATAACATAATGTGTCCCTGTCTAGCCTAGTCAATAGTGCTGATACTACTATATATAAAGCATATAGATATGCTTTAATGTGTACAAAGCAGCTGGTCATATAGCACGATTTGAAACGGATGTCATCGTTCATATTAAGATGAAGTTGATGGTTCACCGTTCCAGACTGTTTTGAAAAGTTGCATTGCTAGATTGAAGTTGAAATCCACAGTCGACTGAGACTAGTTTGTTGGCTGGGGGTATGTATGTAGCATGCTTTTGTGTTTAGGAGCTCAAGCAAATGCCTACAATGTTGTTTCATGTGCAGGAAAAAGACAAAGGAGCCAGACTTGCCTACGTTGCCCCCACCATCCCCAGGAGACTGGCCAGTACATCAGACGTTGATGAGAAGGAGAACAGGTGAAGCGCCAGCGTTGTCCCTCTGAAGGGAAAAGTGCATTGACAGGAGCGCCACCTGCTGTTCACTGCTGTGTGTTACAGGCCAAAAGCAGCACTGCATGTTGTGGCTTAATGTAGCTGCTCTGCTGCCTCTAAGTACTTCAGTTTACAATGAAAAATCCTCATACATATTTCTATCAAGTGTAGCAATTAGTTACAGGAAAATAATATTCTCACAATGTTCACATTTGGCCAGCATCAGATTGACAAGAATAGAATATACAAATATCAGTCATTGATACTTTGTTAGTCATTGTGATTTACATTTCAATCTTAGAATTTATCGAATATTTACTTGTTGTAGCACAAGGCTGCTGGTCCTTGCCTGTATATTGTGGAGCCCTAGGTGCTATTGTAGTGTGTGGTTCCAATCCCAGGGACTCTGCTGCTAGTCTGGTACGTAGCGGCTCCTACACCAGGAGACGCTGGGACGATGAGCTGAAGAACAGTGAAGGAAGCGCTTCCACCAACCGAACAACACCCAGCTATCAGCGCAGGTTAGCCACGCTTCACTATATGCTACCCCTCAGAGTCCTCAACCTGACCGAATCACTACACCAGATCAGTGCGCCATCTTCAATTCATTCAGTACTAGTTCTGGACATAGTTGTTAAAAATTAATAACCAAACTAACAATGTCGTGGAGATATCCAGTTACACTTTAGTTGACTCTTAGTAGTTTTGCTCATTCCTCATTTCGATTTGATTTCGGAGTGTCATTTGAAAAACGTGCATGTACATGCTTAACATGCAAACAGCTACTGAGAAAAGCCATGCAAATCAGTCCAACGGCTCTCTGTCACAAACGCCACAGTCTCTTGCATGACTGTACTAGTCCTGTCAGGTTTCTGTGCCTTTAGTTTCTCTATACTACACACCAGGTTCTACATTACTATCTGCCATTGTCACGCTCTTACAGCCTGCAAGGTTCCAAAACTACATTACCCAGAATCCATCCCTATGACGCAAGAAACCGAGACATGGACCAAGTGTATCAGAGCTTAGTTTTTATACATGTTATGCATGTGTATGTATGTTATATAAATGTGTGTGAGTTTGTGCACCCTCTTGCTAACATGCCAATCTCGTCCCCACACACTGCCAGCACGTCCCACACGCTAACGCTAGGGCGGAGCGGCAGCACGCGGGACGTGCCAGCCAAGTCCTCGTCCGCCTCCAGCTTGGACCCTAACACCTGTAACACTAAACTCTGGCAGTCGCCCGCCTCCCAGTCTTACAGCATTTACCGCAGGTATACCACCAGCCCCCACTCAACAACAACCTCTCCACCTCCACTGTCTGTCACCTGTCTGTCGGTCTCGGCTACATAAGTGTTGTGCAGTTCAATGCGTCTTTGTGACTTTGTGTTGTTCTCTTGACCATCCCATCAACTAAAGAGAGATCAACCCCATTTTGGAACACTGGTTATTGGCTAATGGAGAGGAATTCGTCTTCAAAGGCCATAGTGTTAACTGTTTTTGATCGCCTAGTTTTCAGAACATGTCATTCCTGTTACTGTTTTACTAAAGGTATGGGTAATGGGTCCTCTCCTTTCCATCCTATCTTTCACTCTCCTTCCCTCGTTCTCTTTCCCGTTCTCTCGTTCCTTCTCTGACTGTTGTCCCACTGGTATCCACAGTGGTTCCTTTGGCAGGAGGCACGAGGACCTGGGTTCGACCACCTCTTCCTCCACTAGCACCACCACCACCTCGTCTGTTACCTCGCCCACCGGCCACCGTGACCGAAGCCTGCTCTCCAGCCTGGGCTCCTCCACCCGCACCGGATCCTCCAGCCTCACCAGCAGGTACACACACACACACACACACACACACACACACGTAACACATGCATGTAACACGCACAGGGATCTCCCCAGAGAATGTAAGCGGGGTGCTGCGGCACTATGTAAAATAAATGCGTCTAAAAAAAAAAGTTTTATTTTATTTGTTATCATATAATTTTTTGGCTCTAGATTGTGGGAAATGGCAGTTACAGGTGTTAAAAAATTCAAAAATCTCTGCGCCAAAGGGGGACACTGCCCCCCTCCGAGCAGAACCCCCCTCCGTATTCAGCAGCACCACCTTGTTAAAAAATCCTGGGGAGGACCCTACACACACGTGCATATAAATGTAAAAATGTTAGTCCTATTTTGAAGTCCTGTGTGTACAATTGTGTGTGGATCAGGTACTGGGCAGAGGAGAGTGCGGAGAGGGAAAAGGAGCGTGAGAAGGAGTCTGCGGCTGTCATCCCTACGATTAACACTGGTTCTACCACCACCACAACGTCCACTACTGGCACTATCATTGGCTCTGACGGCAGGGAGAGACGCAGGTCCGACACGCGCACGTACGCGCAACCCCCACCTACACACACATACTCTGAAATGCAAACATGGACACACACATGGATGCCCACACGTGGCACCCACAGGAGAAAACAAGGATGCCACTGATACACACCTTTTTTACACACAACTCATGATTCTTCACTTGTTTATACAACTACAAACAATGTAATAACTGCAGTCTCTCAGAAAGCAGAATATCTTGAAGCTAGCAGGATCCTGTGCTATTTGAGATTGCATTGCCTCTGTTTGAGAATTGGGGTGTGGTCTCCTCCAGTGTGTACACACTGGAGGAGGAGCGGGAGTCTGTTAAAATGAATGGGGTTAAGAGCTCGTCTTCCTGTGAAGTCACTGCTGCTGAAAGAAGCCACCTGTTCTGGGAGGGGTCTAGAACCCTGACTGCTTCAGAAAGTTCTCCTTATAAGGAAGATGGGTTTCTCTAGGCCATGCCAAGGCTCACAAGTGATTGAGTTCATATTCTTGTATGGGATGGAAGAAACACATTCCCTCGTCAAAGAAAGCACTAGACTTACCGGTCTTTGCGCCCTCAATATTAGCCATTTATTTTAGACTGATGCTAAATAAAAGGTGAAAGGAGATAAAATATCTCCACAGCTGATAGTACAATACAAATCTGGATGATTAAACGGAGGGGAACAGAAAGAATACCTGGATGTTAGATTTAGTCATTTTAGATTTGGCTACTTACTTGAAGTGTTGTCAGTCTCATTCTATCATCCTCATGCTTACGTGTGGCTTTAGCCTGTCCTTGTTTGTGTTGCAGCTCCTACCTCACGCCTGTCCTTGTTTGTGTTGCAGCTCCTACCTCACGCCTGTCCTTGTTTGTGTTGCAGCTCCTACCTCACGCCTGTCCTTGTTTGTGTTGCAGATCGTACCTCACGCCTGTCCGGGATGAAGAGTCTGAGTCCCAGAGGAAAGCCCGCTCCAGACAGGCTAGACAGTCCAGGAGGTCTACCCAGGTTAGTCTAGACACTTGTCCTGACTCTGCTTCTGAACTGGGCCTGAATGGCTAACCAAATACTTGCTGGGGTTTACAAAAAGAAAACAACATGCTGATAAATGCAGTTTCAACTGAGTCACTTCTCATTGGACTTTGTAATGGTTCATGGTTAGTCCATTTATCTACTACAAGAGTCATATATATATATATATATATATATATATGTGGCTTGGGGTAATATAGCTGAACTGATTGTTGTTTAAAAAAAGTTATTGCCAGTTTGTTTTATTGCCGAAACAAACACGTTTGTATAAGCTGGCACACATTGCTAAGCGTGGCAAGTTTTAATGAGGAGATTGTTTACAAGCCATAGGAAATTGGGCTATTCCTTTTCCTCTCCCCCAACAAGCTCAACTTTCCATGCTGTCGCTAATACTACCTGAAATAACTAAATATGGTGCAGCTTAAAATGCCCTATTAAATTGTCTACTTTTTATAACATAAATAATGTTCACAGTGCAGTAAGTGAATGCCTGAAATTAGTTGTAAATGTTCCTCTTCCAAAACGCAGATAACTGCCATTTTGTAGTTTTTTCCCTCCATGAAGAAATCAAAATGGCCCAATAAAAACATTGCTCCTCTAACCCTTTTCGACACAGAGATTCACTCAATTCTCTCCATTTCCTCTCAGGGTGTGACTCTGACTGACCTCCAAGAGGCAGAGAAGACCATTGGCAGGAGCCGCCCCACACGGACCCGGGAGGAGGAGAAGGAAGAGACTGAGAAACAAGACAAGGAGAAGAAGGAGACTGGTGAGACCAAGGAGGACGACTACCGGTCCAGGTACCGCAGCTTCGAAGAGGTATGTGAAGGCTTCCCCAATAGTTATTTACTATGCTATATTATACATTTGGAAAAACAACATATCATGTGTTTACTGGTGAAGTGTAAACTGAAAATCACTTTTGAGATTTCAGAATAAATTAGTCTTTTTTTGTGCAGTTTTCCTCAAGCCCAGGTTGATTGATCTGAAGACTGTAACCATTCCTGACTTCCTGTTCTCTTTCTCCTCTCTCCAGACTTACCAGCGATACCGTCCCTCCACCACTTCAACCACCTCCACCCTGAGCACGGCCTCCACCCCGTCCTCCTCCACTTCCCTGTCCACCTCCTCCAGCTCCCTCAACAGGCCCAACAGCTTGACGGGCATCACTTCCTCCTCCAGCTCCCTCAACAGGCCCAACAGCCTGACGGGCATCACTTCCTCCTCCAGCTCCCTCAACAGGCCCAACAGCCTGACGGGCATCACCACCTCCTACAGCCGCTCCTCTAGGGACACTGAGAAAGGTAAGCCATGAGAGCAGAGCTACGGGTTCAGATCTCTAAATGCTATGGATTGTTATTAAACCTCATATGTTACTGCCATTCGGTGTATCAGTATGATAAATCTATGTACTCGCATACCAAACTGTAAGCATACTGGACACACTGTCAGCAGTGCATTGATTGTGACTGAGTAGACGCACATGCACACACTGAGATACTCATGCTTTCAACATCAGATCTATTCATTGAAAAAAATAAGCTTGAGTTCTGCTGATGTTGAATGTATTCCCACATTGAGGTATGGCCAGAGTATCTATCATTATTAGATGTATAGCGCCTTCAGAAAGTATTTGTTTTTGACATATTCTACATTTTGTTGTTACAGCCTGAATTCAAAATGGATTAGATTTTTTCTCAGCCATCTACACACAATATCCCATGACAGTGAAAACATGTTTTTAGAAATGTTTCTTTGATTTTATTGAGTTATAGTTCATATAAGGAAATCAGTCAATTTAAATAAATTCATTAGGCCCTAATCTATGGATTTTACATGACTGGGCAGCGGCGCAGCCATGCGTGGGCCTGGGTCGGCATAGGCCCACCAACTAGGGAGCCAGGCCCAGCCAATCAGAATGAGTTTGTCCCCACAAAAGGGCTTTATTATAGACAGAAATACTCCTCAGTTTCATCAGCTATTCGGGTGGCTGGTCTCAGACGAATCCCGCAGGTGAAGAAGCCGGATGTGGAGGTCCTGGGCTGGCGTGGTTACACGTGGTCTGCGCTTGTGAGGCCGGTTGGACATGCTGCCAAATTCTCTAATGACGTTGGGGGTGGCTTATGGTAGAGAAATTAAAATGTATGTCTCTGGCAACAGCTCTGATGGACAATCCTGCAGTCAGCATGCCCATTGCAAAACTTAAGAAATCTGTGGCGTTGTGTTGCGTGACAAAACTACACATTTTAGAGTGGCCTTTTATTGTCCCCAGCACAAGGTGCACCTGTGTAATGATCATGCTGTTTAATCAGCTTCTTGATATGCCACACCTGTCAGGTGGATGGATTATTTTGGCAAAGGAGAAATTCTCACTAACAGGGATGGCAACAAATTTGTGCTTATGGAAATGTAGGGATTCGTTTATTTCAGCTCATGAAACATGGGACCAACACTTTACATGTTGCATTTTAATATTTTTGTTCAGTGTACATAAGTATTCACACCCCTTTGCTATGACACTCCAAATTGTGCTTAGGTGCATCCAATTTCCTTTGATCATCCTTGATGTCACTACAACTTGAATGGAATCCACCTGTGGCCAATTCAATTGTTTGGACATGATTTTTAGAAAGAAACACACATCTATATAAGGTCCCACATTGCATGTCAGAGCAGAAACTATACCATAAAGTCCAAGGAACTGTCCATAGCACTCCAAGAGAATTGTGATGAGGCATATAGAAGGAAGGGTATAAAACAATTTCTAGAGTTTTGAAAGTTTCCAAGAGCACAGTGGTCTCAATCATTGGGAAATTAAATGTCTGGAGAAAACCAGGCACAGCTCATCACCCGTCTAACACCATCCCTACCGTGAAGGATGGTGGTGGCAGCAGCATGCTATTGGGATGCTTTTCAGCGGCAGGGACTGGGAGACTGGTAAGGATAGCAGGGAACAATGAATGGAGACATACAGGCATATTCTTGACGAGAACTTGCTTCAGAGTGCAAATGACCTTAGACTGGGGCAAAGATTAACACTCCAACAGGACAATGACCCCAAGCATGCAGCCAAAGCAACGCTGAAATGGCTTCAGAACAAGAATGTGTAAGTCCTTGAGTGGCCCAGCCAAAACCCAGACTTGAAATCTGTGGAAAGACTTGAAGATTGCTGTTCACCGCCGCTCCCCATCTAACTTAACAGAGCTTGAGAAAATCTGCAAGGAAGAATGGGAGAAAATCCTCAAATCCAGAGGTGCAAAAGCTGTAAACGCCGCCAAAGGTGCTTCTACAAAGTATTGACTCAGGGGTGTGAATACTTAATATGTTGTGAAATCTGTTATAATGTATTGTAATGTTTTTTTAAATGTATAGCTGCCTTAATTTAGCCAGACCCCAGGAAGAGTAGCTGCTGCCTTGGCAACAGCTAATGGGGATCCATAATAAAAACAAATGTAAATTAGGTTTTTGTGTTTCATTTTCAATAAATCTAAAAACATGTTTTCACTTTGTCATTATGGGGTATTTTGTGTAGATGGGTGAAGAAATAATCCATTTTGAAATCAGGCTGTAACGCAAGAAAATGTGCAATAAGTAAAGGGGTATGAATACTTTCTGAAGGCACTGTATCTAATAGCCATGTGAGCACAGACAGGTTAACCTGAATTCCACCCAGGCAGCATTGGTCCCTCGAAGATTGGGTTGCCTTAAATGAAATGGTTTCTCATCTCAGAGACTAAAGCACATTGTCTCACGTCAGATGGTGTCATTTTAACACGACACGCAGTTGCTAGGAGCCATCTGTCTAACCAAACGTGGAACCCCTCTCTAAAAATTTTGATTTTGCTCATCCGCTTAACACTAGTTCCTAATTCTGAAAATCACTCCGCTCTCCATAGCGATGACGCACTGGCTACTACGGCAAACCATGCTCGGTCAGCTGAGCAAACTTTAAATTAAGCTTTGATGGAATGAAACTTTGATGTCAGCACATACACTGACTGTAATGAACACTATTGATAAACTACATGAGTCACCAGTTAGGCTCCTCAGTAAAGTCAAATGCAATTCGAAAATTTGATTTTGAGTTGACAATGTGAATTGGAATTGACCCCAAATGTGCTAGGTGAGGTGCATGTGGCTCACTCGGTCTCTTTGTGATTGACAGAATCAGACAAGAAGCAGCAGCAGGAGGAGGAGAAAGAGGGAGAGGATAAGTCCCAGCCCCGCTCCATACGGGATCGCCGGCGGCCCCGTGAGAAGAGACGCTCCACCGGGGTGTCCTTCTGGACCCAAGATGGGGTTAGTGACACACACACACACTTTAATGTGGACATGCCTCAAGTATAATGATCAGAGCCCACTTGACCCACCCATAAGGCAATAAAGATACATGTCAGTTTTGAAGTAAAAAGCTATTTTATGGATTTAGCAGTACAACTACTCATGTGGTACTACACTGAAGTGCACCTCATGAAACACCTCTGGGTCTAGCTGATTGGGGATTTGGAGCCAGACTTTGGATTTGTTCTGAGAATAACTGTGTCCTGGGGCTGTTCCTGACTTCATGTCCCTCCTTGTATTCCAGAGTGATGACAATGACCCAGACCAGTCGGCGGACTCAGAGGAAGGCAGCATCAAGGGTGAACCTCAGGTAACCTCAGTCCACACAACCATATAGAAATAAACCCACAATAGATGCGGTAAAGATGTCAATGAACGCAGGATGCTGTGATGCCCTCATTGGCGTAAATTCAACAAATCTGATCGAACTAAGTGTAAATTCGTCAAGTCCTTAATGATTTATGTATTGATTTGAAACAGGCTCACAATGTGGTTACTAAAGTCTGTTTTTCGCTGCATAACATTTAGAAGTTGTCCCTTTTCACGTTTTCAAGATGTGACTGCTAAATGCTAACTCCTGTTCGTATGAGCTGGTAGCATAGCTAGCATACAGAAATCGGTTATGGAAGTCAGTCGTTTTTAACTCGAATACAGTTGATTGGTGACGATGACATGGACATATATTGGGGTTGACATCCATACAAGTATTATACTCAGATTTGTACCTCAACATCTTGTTAAATATACATAAACAATAGCCTACATAGAGGCTGTTCTTGCTGGGGGGGCAATGAGGATATTCAAGACCTTTCCCCCACTCGTTTCCACTGCATTTCCATTGTTTTGGTTGAGTTCCATTGACCTCTTTACTGCAACTGTCTGTGGTCAAACCTCCAGCCTGAGACCCAAACTAAAGGATAGACTGTTTTGATAAAACACATGCTTTTTAGTGACTGACCAGTGTTTTTTGGTGGTTCAACCACCCCAATCAACTTCTTCCTGTAGTGTTTGCTCTCTCACTCTCTTTTGTGTATAGTCATGGCCAAGCAAGTGCCTCTGCTTTTCCTTTATTTGTCCTATTTTGGCCAACTTTGGTACTGTAAATACCTCTGACTTTGGATTTAATGGTTCCTCCTTTCCTGTGATTGTCCTGTTGCTAAGGTGACCTCAAACCCAAAACACTCTCCACCGTAGTTCAGTAAGTTCCAAAACAAGCCACCACACAAAGGAAATGTGTCTTGCTCAGGTCAAAGGTTGAACGTACAGGCAGTTTTCACTACTAGGAACATTCTGCGAATGGAGGAGAAAGTGGAAGGAATTAAAACATTCTGGACTAGTTACTTTTTTGGACTAGTTATTGAAAAATGACAAAAATTCTTATTTTTCACATGCAGTGAAAAACATCAGATATTCTGGCATCTGCTAGGACTTAATTTTAGTGGACAGGACATCCACCCTGTAATCATAGCTAAAGAACCCCCTACAGAGTTCCTTTGTAGCTTTGAGAGGGGAAGGTCAGTGTGACTAACAAAAAATGGGTTGGGCCTCTTTGTATGTAAGGGGAGAGCAGCATTTTCTTGTTTATCTACAAAGCACTCATGCTTTGTAGATAAACAATATCTACTGTATCATTAATTCAATTTAGACTTACAAATTACCAAGCCCAGTCTCAGGCTTGGATGCTGCTGGAGGCCCCTTCAGTCTCCACAGAGTTGAGTAAAGCTACTTTTAGTGGGTTTTTTTTGCGACCTTTATTTGGAACAACTTACAGAGCTCTCTGAAATTAGATCTTCTCGTCCTCCTTGGTCAGTTCAGAGTAATGATCAGTGACCTCTGTTGATAAATCTCTGTTTTATTTACATTTACGTCATTTAGCAGACGCTCTTATCCAGAGCGACTTACAAATTAATACTTTTTGTATTGTGTCTGTTTGATGTATTTATGCAGGGCTCATCTGTAGGAGACCCTAGTCTCAGTATGACTTCCCTGTCAAAATAAAGGTTAAGTAAGATGGAGTCTCCCTGGCTAGGTCTTCCTGTTTTTGGAAGGGGTGTGTCCTGTGTAGTGCTGCAGAGCGGAGCAGACAGCGATGTGGCCAGGCGCTTGGCTGCAGATCAGACGCACACAGTGGGAGGAGGGGGGCAGGCGGACGGAGCAACCAGACAGAAAGCCAGCGTATCTCTTTGTTGTTGGAGGCTGCACATTGGGGCGGGGCCAGAACGGAACACCAAATAGGAAATGGTCCATTATCTCTGCATGGATAGGAAAGCATTCAGGAAGAGCTGCTCTCTCCTGGCAGAGTTGATTTGGGTTTCTCCTTGGGCTGGGAATTGCAAGGGACCTCACGCTATGATGTTGTCCTTAGGTGCAGATATGATATGTATTGATATTCTCCCAATTCTATGTGTATTGCGATTCGATATTGCGATTTGCTTTTTCAAACTATATTGCTCATTATATGTCTGCTATAGAGAGATGAGAGAGCATGAGAAAATGACGTTTGATCAGTCATGGAAATAAAAGGACTGAACATGTTGGCTCACTATTTAAAAAGAAGATGGAGAGCAAGCTATAGGATGAAAAATACAAGAGTTTTGGCGCAGGTACAGTCGAATAGCGCTAGCTAACGCTACCTAGCAATTAAGGTAGAATATTTTACAAATCTTCCATCCTGAGAATAAATTACTTTTCTCCCGTGTAACCCGGTATTTCCCGCCAAACCGGAAGTGTCATTCAAAAGCATTTAAATAGGCCTATGTCTGGATTTGATTAGAGCTTTGATCGAAAATTCAAGCCGGATGCAACCTGAGCCTGATTTAAATACATATTATGAGCCCTACATTAAAGAAATTTAATGAGTCGAAGCCCAAATGATTGTGACGTTATCCAATACATAGGCTATATGATATATAAGCTACTGCACATTAAGCACGGTAGAAAAACATAAAAGCACATAGATGTACAGTGGGGAGAACAAGTATTGTACAGTGGGGAGAACAAGTATTTGATACACTGCCGATTTTGCAGGTTTTCCTACTTACAAAGCATGTAGAGGTCTGTAATTCTTGTCATAGGTACACTTCAACTGTGAGAGACGGAATCTAGAAAATCACATTGTATGATTTTTAAGTAATTCATTTGCATTTTATTGCATGACATAAGTATTTGATATATCAGAAAAGCAGAACTTAATATTTGGTACAGAAACCTTTGTTTGCAATTACAGAGATCATACGTTTCCTGTAGGTCTTGACCAGGTTTGCACACACTGCAGCAGGGATTTTGGCCCACTCCTCCATACAGACCTTCTCCAGATCCTTCAGGTTTCGGGGCTGTCGCTGGGCAATACGGACTTTCAGCTCCCTCCAAAGATTTTCTATTGGGTTCAGGTCTGGAGACTGGCTAGGCCACTCCAGGACCTTGAGATGCTTCTTACGGAGCCACTCCTTAGTTGCCTTGGCTGTGTGTTTCGGGTCGTTGTCATGTTGGAAGACCCAGCCACGACCCATCTTCAATGCTCTTACTGAGGGAAGGAGGTTGTTGGCCAAGATCTCATGATACATGGCCCCATCCATCCTCCCCTCAATACGGTGCAGTCGTCCTGTCCCCTTTGCAGAAAAGCATCCCCAAAGAATGATGTTTCCACCTCCATGCTTCACGGTTGGGATGGTGTTCTTGGGGTTGTACTCATCCTTCTTCTTCCTCCAAACACGGCGAGTGGAGTTTAGACCAAAAAGCTCTATTTTTGTCTCATCAGACCACATGACCTTCTCCCATTCCTCCTCTGGATCATCCAGATGGTCATTGGCAAACTTCAGACGGGCCTGGACATGCGCTGGCTTGAGCAGGGGGACCTTGCGTGCGCTGCAGGATTTTAATCCATGACGGCATAGTGTGTTACTAATGGTTTTCTTTGAGACTGTGGTCCCAGCTCTCTTCAGGTCATTGACCAGGTCCTGCCGTGTAGTTCTGGGCTGATCCCTCACCTTCCTCATGATCATTGATGCCCCACGAGGTGAGATCTTGCATGGAGCCCCAGACCGAGGGTGATTGACCATCATCTTGAACTTCTTCCATTTTCTAATAATTGCGCCAACAGTTGTTGCCTTCTCACCAAGCTGCTTGTCTATTGTCCTGTAGCCCATCCCATCCTTGTGCAGGTCTACAATTTTATCCCTGATGTCCTTACACAGCTCTCTGGTCTTGGCCATTGTGGAGAGGTTGGAGTCTGTTTGATTGAGTGTGTGGACAGGTGTCTTTTATACAGGTAATGAGTTCAAACAGGTGCAGTTAATACAGGTAATGAGTGGAGAACAGGAGGGCTTCTTAAAGAAAAACGAACAGGTCTGTGAGAGCCGGAATTCTTACTGGTTGGTAGGTGATAAAATACTTATGTCATGCAATAAAATGCAAATTAATTACTTAAAAATCATACAATGTGATTTTCTGAATTTTTGTTTTAGATTCCGTCTCTCACAGTTGAAGTGTACCTATGATAAAAATTACAGGTGCTATGCTATGGAACAAGCTCCAGTAATCTTTTTGAGTGTGACCTGTATTACTGTATTGTACTATACTGTATTAAATGGACTGGAATTACGCACCTTGTTCAAACCATGATAAAGCAGGGAGAGAACATGCGATTCTGGTGCAGCACATGCGGCCTACAAAGTTACAAGTATAGGCTAGTGAATTTGATTGACATTTTTCATAATATTTCCCCTAATGTTATTAGCCTACCACCTCTTTCTCTCTCTAGTGTTGCTTCATGCCTTGCTCGCTTTCAACAGTTAAATTAAATACGTTTTGTTGTCTTTATCTTAATCATTCTAATGACATGCTTGAATAATATAGGACTAGAATGAGATGCAGAATGCTTTCAATTCTCCACGAGGATTGAATGGTTATGGGTCTGAATAAATAACTTCTATAGCGTACTGCCATCGCGCATTCACTCTTTCAAACTACCCGTGAGTTCTATTGGCTGCTGTATTTAACATTCAACAAACAAGAGTTTGCGTCCCTCTTCAAATAGTCGATCTTGAATGCATTTTGAACGTAATTGATGAGAGCGAAAGACTGCGAGAGAGTGCTCGCTCGTGCATTGATTTAAAGCAGCGATTAGAGTGTTTTTAAAATGCTTCAGCTGCAAAAAATATATATATTTACCATTTCAAAAAAGGAGGAGACCCCAGCCAGATGGAGATGTGTAAATTAGACGTGCATTCGGTCTTTATATTACTGTAGCGTAGGCTATGCTGCAGCGACTGTAAGTCTACCTGTCACAAAAGTTACCATGATGAGATGATAGGTCTACATACTGAGATGAGCTGTCGGTCCCCACCCTGAGATTTGATGATTCATCATGCTTTGACCAGAGAGAAGGCCTTAGAGAATCCTGATTTAGACAACACATATAATTTAAGTTCTATTTCACGTCATGCTGTTAATATAAATAATTTATTATAATTTACCGGTTTCTCTGTTATTTATCTCGGGAAAAGGGAGTGGTTTTGGGCGGTAAATCTGTAAATCTCGGTAACCGGGTTCCCGACATTCAACCCTACTAGTAATATGTTTACAAATCGATACTTGCAGTCAAAGTATCGCTATAATATCGTCCAAAATGATATTGTGATATGTAACTAGTTTAACCCCTCCAGTTCTGCCCACTTGATTTTAGGTGGTAAACTTAGCTGGCCTTTTTATTGTGGTGAAAGTCATGGATAACTGGAGTTAGATGGAAGAATGTCCCTGCATTTATCAATTACTTGCAGTGTGAAGTGAAGCACACAGTTTTTTTCACGACTTGAGGGAGATTTGAATTTGCCATGATCTGCAAAATATATAAACCTTAGAGAAGTAGGCTAAAATATGCTGTGGTGTTTTTGTTAAGCAGTATATTTTTCTGACAAACCTGTAATTCAACCAGTTGTACATGTCAGTTTTCTTCCCCCTCACCATTTTAATCTCTGTAGCCAAGGTCTTAAAGATATGCTGACACACAAGTGCTTTTCCTGGCAATCGGGCTCCTTCAGCTTCAGGAAGCCAACAGCAATTTGAATACCGCTGTAGGCTTGGCCCTCTGACCCCCATCCTGCCTGCTCCCTAACCCCACTCTGAGGCCCTCTGCTGGAGCAGCGGGAGCTAGGAGAGGCTGGGGATCAGAGGCAGGCCCTGAGGCACTGGCAGGCTTGGCAGCCGTTCAGGAATGTGGGGGGGGGGGGGGGGACTGTTGCAGTGCAGAGGGGTCAGGTGCTATGAGAGGGAGAGGCTCGGAGCTGAGAGGGGGTAGACACTGATTTGGATTTGCTTGTTTTAACATCGGGTGAAGACATTAAATCACTTCTGTTTTTCTTTTCTTTTCACAGAGCGACCGACTGTCCAGGTACGTGGCAAATTCAGTTTATTCTTCAGGTCTGTCCCAAATGGCACCCTATTCCCTATATAGTGCACTACCTTTGACCATTGCCCATAGGTCTCTGGTCAAAAGTAGTGCACTATGTAGAGAATAGGGTGCCATTTGGGAATTCATCCTTCCTGTCTGCTATTTACCCTTCTCTTGGAGGGCTTGTGCCACTTTGGACCAAATAAACCGTTGACAACCTTGTATATGGCAGTGTAAATATTAGATATGGTCGAATAGATAATGTAAGTGTCCATGTTTTTATTATCTTCAGGAATGAAAGCAGCACTTCCTCTTTCGACCGAAATGACCACCTGGGTAGCCGTGGCGAGGGTCGCAGGTCATTCTCAAGCAGGCTGGACCGAGACGATAGCACTGACTACAAGAAGGTACTGGAGCTCCCGGACACTCACCTTCTACCTTAGTTAAGATCACACCAGACTCAATAACACCACCATAGAAATAGTCATTCTTCCACGTGAAGTGACATTTTTTTCTCACTGTTGTTTTTCCTCTCAGCTTTATGAGCAGATCCTAGCAGAGAATGAGAAGCTGAAGGCCCAGTTACGTGACACAGACCTGCAGCTGACTGACTTGAAGCTACAGCTGGAGAAGGCCACACAGGTGAGGCACTGGGGCCAGGCTGCACAGTACAGTTGGGAAATTAGCACGTATCATGTAGCATTAGCATAAGTAGCCTCAGCATTAGCATCACTCATTGGGAATAAATAGGGGCTGTTCCTCGCTAACTGTGGGTTATCGACTTTGCTTGTGTTACAGAGGCAGGAGCGCTTTGCTGACCGGTCGCAGCTTGAGATGGAGAAAAGGGTAATGATTATTACGTGTTTTATGTTTTTAACTTATTTCATCATTTTCCCCAACAAATGAATGAACTCAAAAATGAGTTGTATGTATGAAAGGCACTTAAAAATAAAAGTATTATTATTGGCTTGAACTGAATTGGTAATGCTAGTGGTAATCAATGCCAACTGGTTTATGTCTGAAGGTTACAAGCAGGCCCCAATTTCAGCTGGGTGGTATGGTCTTATAAACCTGACTACTTTCTACAGTCTACTGCCTCTGCTGCTGGCTGTCTCACCATGCCCGTATAGCTGGCTGGGGGCGTGCCACCCCACCCAAGCACGAGCTACCTACCTTCTCTCACGTGTTTTGTAAAAAAAAAAATAGCCAGTGTGTGGTCACTTCTTCTCCAGAGTTTTTGCGTAGTGTGTGATAGCGAGTATACATTATGGATTGTTTCAATGTAAATGTTATCTTCTGCATGTGCTTTTTGCTATTCTTCTTGGCAAGTGTTCCTCATCCCAATTTTGAGTAACTTTCACTCATATCAACTTTACGACTGACACAAACATCCCCTTTACGACTGACACAAACATCCCCTTAAAGACAACAGGCACATGTAGTTCACATGGTGGCCAAGAAAAAACATTTATCCTCAACTCAAAACATCTTCCATGAATGATTTACTCATACCCTAGTCTATTGCTTTAGTCCATGTTCTAACTGGATTTCAGATCACCTTCCCTTGATCACATTCCCCTGGCATTCCCTAAAGTCAGCATACCTCCAGACCTTCACAGCTCGGGTCTTCCTTTGCAAACGAAGCCAAATGCTTCTTTTATTTTAGTTGCATTGGCCCTGCCAGTATGGCTGACATTTACCATGAGTCATTTCATGAACTTGTCATGTTTAGATAACCACAGCCTTTAACCACATCAGGAGAAAATGGGACATGCAGCACTAAACATGTTAGGGCTTTAGATTAGTCTCCATGGTTCCGGCTTTGACATGCTTCACAGTCGTGTGTACCTCACCCACTCTCCTCTCACCTCTCTCTCTTCATAAAGCTCCCCAACCTGCATCTGTTATCTGACGTTCACACCTCACCTCATGGCAGCAATTTAGTTCTAGTCTGTTTTAGTCTTAAAATACCTTTTTAGTCTTAGCCACGTTTTAGCCACAGTCAGTACATTATTTTCTATCCCCGAGCCGACTAGGTGAAAAATCTGTCGATGTGCCCTTGAGCAAGGCACTTAACCCTAATTGCTCCTGTAAGTCGCTCTGGATAAGAGCGTCTGCTAAATGACTAAAATGTAAATGTATAAAGAAATGAATATATAGGCTACCTCTAACTTCCATCGTGTGCACATTCAGATCGCCTAGTCCAACTAGGCCTATTATCTCCTTGTATAGTTAGTTGGTAACATTGATATTGTGGCAGATTGAAACTAATGCCAGCCATAATTAACCATATAGGCTATAAAACCTTGGCTACAGGTTAAACAATTTACAACTGTTTTCCTCCCCATCATAACCGTCAAGGGGGGTAAATAACAGTGGTTTCTTGATAAGGGGAGAATTTGAGCTTTCCCAAAATGTCAGAAGTATTACTGTACTCCTAATATTTAACAAATGGCATTAGTTTTTCCCCATAGGAAAAAAGCAACCACTCGCATTTGCGGACCGCGGCGCGAGAGCGGCAACACAGATGAATAAAAGTGCAAATGGGAAAATAGAGGTTCTGATGTGATAAACAAAAATAGCCTACATGAAAGTAAGAGTAAACATTACTGTTTCTAGTTGAGGTTAGTTACAAGTAGTGTCCTGGCACCTGGCTTCGCGTCAGTTCAAGAGATTGACGAGTGATTTGAAGTGACCTGGGTAGCTGTGTGGGAGGAGAGCTGGGTAGATCAACTCAATCAGACCGCGCAACTGAAAGATGTAAATTCTGCAAACAAACATGTCCAATCCTAAGCGTGTATGCATGCAGAATATTTAATGTAGTCCTCTCATTGGCAGAATTCACATCTTTCAGTTCCGCGGTCTGCAGCTGATTTGAGCTGATCTGCCCGGCTCTCCCACACAGCTCCAGGCGGTCACTTCAGTCACTCATCAATCTTTTTAACTGCAGCGAAGCCAGGTGCCACGACACTTGACTGCCGAATTAAATTAAATGTCCATTAGTGTCACGTGGGAGGCTCGTCATTTTTTCGTTGACTAAAATGAAAAGTAATTTGTGATAGTTCTCGTTTTTTCCCCAGGGAATCTCGTCTCGTTATCATAGTGTTAGTCAGGAAAAATAGGTAGTTGATGAGTGTTTTTCATAATTGTTGTTGACAAATGAACACTGCTGTCAGTCACTCAAGGCTGTAACAGCCGAGCTGCCGAGCTATGGCCTTCGTTTTGTCCACGAGGTGTGAGGTAACATAACTGAAGCAGTTTGTGGGAGCTTGTATGTGGTGGTTGTCTTGCGTGGTGTTTTCAATGCTCCTCTCCCTCTTCTTTAAACCCAGGGTTAACATCTGTTTGTCCCCCTCCCTCCCTGCAGGAAAGAAGAGCTCTAGAAAGGAAGATCTCTGAGATGGAGGAGGAACTCAAGGTACTGTCTCATGTGACTGGGCCCTCAGGGGTGACCCGTGCTGGGTGTATGTGGTTGGGTGTATGCCCTGTTTGTGTGTAGGGCACCAGGAGGTTGTTAGTGACATAATTACATATTGCCCCTTTAAGATCAGGGACAGCAGTCAATATTCCAATATTGTTAAACATACTGTATACATTAGCTGTACTATATTAGTATGCCCTGTTGAAATGTATTACTGAACAAAGTTACTATACAGGATAGCATTTTTACCACAGGCCCAATGTTCCATTTGATAAACTCTCTGGTGCTGTCAATTATAGCATAGTATTTGTATAATGAAGCAATCTTAACTGACAGTCAGCATAGTGCTGTTGTCACTGTTTGATTTGAGCCACCAGTGTTTGATTTGAGACCCCAGTGTATCCTGTCTGTGGTGTGTATTCTGAATATGTGTGTATTCACCTGTGTGTGTGTGTTCCGTATTTATGACATTTTGGGATGCTCTATATAATCTTTGTCAACGTAACTCGTAAGCTCTTCTAACTAAGGAGATTGGATGTTGTTCTCAAACTGTAGCAAAATCCATTATGTCAGTCAGCAAGTGTTCTTCCTTCTTCCCAGCACTGCCATAATGTAGTGTTTATTTCTAGGTCATAAGGAGCCCAGCGATCATATCTGTCTTCCACACTCTATTCTACTCTGCTACCGTAGATCGCCATCTCTCCTACATGCCAGTCTGCCTGGAACGCACTTGTCATTCCTCCAGTTCCAAACTCTGTCCCATTTTCCTAACAATCTCCTTTTTCTGTTTTGTCTTCTCTTTGCCCCCTCTTATCCTCTCTATCATTTGTATTGGCCCCTCCCTTGTCTTCCATTCTTTCTCTCCCTTCTGGTACACTCTCCCATCTCCCCCCTTTTCTCTGCCCTCTGCTGGTTTGACTCGCTCTCTTGCTCTTTCTCTCGTTCTCGCTTGTTCTCTCGCTCTTTCTCTCGTTCTCCCGCTCTCTCTCTCTCTCCCGCTCTTTCTCTCTCCCCCGCTCGCTCTCTCTCTCCCGCTCTCTCTCTCCCGCTCTCTCTCCCTGTGTTGTGGTTTTCCTGCAGAACCTCCCAGAGGTAAAGCAGGTTCAGGCCCTGCGTCAGGTCAAAGAGCGGCTGCAGGCAGAGAACAGGGCCCTGGCCCGCGTGGTGGTCAAGCTCTCCCAGTCAGCCTGCAGCCAGCTGCCCCCCTCCGTGGACCTGTAGCCCTGCCCAACCGCTCCTCCTCACCCCCTCACCCTCCCTTCTCATGCTCCATTCGTGCTCCGACCGCACCCATAGACAGGCAGGTCCCCAGCCGCCCAACTACATGGTTATTCCCCCCGGAGACTGACTCACCCTACCTCCCCAGACCTCTCTGGTGTTCATATTGGGGGAGTGTGTTTTGAGTGGGCACTTTCCATTTACAGTACCCATATTTTACAGTATAGTGAAATGTTATTTTCATTCAGGTAAGTATCAATTCAGGTGTTCATTTTCATATAAGCAAATATGTACTACTTTATTGTTAGTGCAGTACCTGAAGTATAAATATTGGACTACATGATTAGGTATTTTATGCAGTTGATTTTACTAGATAATTTGATGTACTGTAAAGGAGAGTGCCCCATTTTTTGTTTCCCCCCCCCAGTGTGCTGTCTTGAAGTCTTTATCAGGGAGGGCCGTTTCGTTTGGCTTGTTTCTGTTTTCTTTGCATGACGTGGCTTTCTTTTTGCGTCAAATGGCGGACATCTTTATTTTTATTTTTATGGAGGACGGACACATATCCTTTCCCCTCAGTGTCTTTCTCCAGTCCTACCCCCGTTTCAATTCACTCTTATAGATGCCATCAACCCAGCTTTGAGACCGGGTCACCCCCATAATGCAGGTTTACACTTGGTCTGATTTAAATTCCAAGTGAAATGTGACCTAGACATATTAATTTGGCTAATGATTCAAGGTCCATTACATACCATAAGATGCTCAGGTTGGTTGATTGTCATCTGTAATAAAATGCTTTATAGTTTTGCAGTGGACAGTGAAGTTTTGCTCTTCATCTCCCTGGATGTTCAGTTGTTCCCTATGTGAGTGCTGAAGTGTTTCAAGAGGGACTGGACAGTCCTCCATATTTGCTCTGCCCAAGACAATGCTCTACTGCATGGCTTTATGAATCTGCTTAGCCCGGTATGGTTTTAATTGATATTAATGAGGGAATTATACCTGTAAATGATCATCTGTGACTCATTGTGATTAGTTATCTTTTCATTTGTCAAACAAACTGGTTAGTATTTCGTAGGTCTCTCGTAATATTACCCACTTAATAGACAACACTTTGGCACCACACTGAGTATTGTGTTAATAAATAGTTAAAGCGGTAGGGTATCCCTTATTCAGATAGCTAGTCAGAATGACCCTAATGAGTGTCATAGGGCTTTTGAGTCATTTTATTGTATCTATTTCAGACAACTCACAAACTGTGACCAAGATGACAGGCAGTGGTGTAACTATGTTAGTGAATAATGTACCTACTATAATTCTATTAAGGCAGAGTTGTTGTATTACCATTACTTTCTTATAAGAAAAGAACAGCAGTTAGTTTGGAAACTTAGTTCAGGGCAGAAATGGTTATTGGGTGGGGAATGGCCCCATTTTCCACCTCCAATCCTGACTGCGAGATGGTGTTAGCTTTACACATGGTAAGTCGACCTCACAAATACAAAAAGAAGAACCGAACAATTGCAAAGGCAGTATTTGATGCTGCAACAGTTTTAGTTGTCGCTCATGCATTTTTTTTGGCCCTGTATGCTTCAAACAAAGGAGCACTGTTTGTGCTGAGAAAATAAATGACAAGAAAAAAATGGTTGAGACTGGCTCGTCAAAGATGCTGATGACACGCTGCAATTAACAGTTTCTAGAACTGGGCTGACTGGTAAACCTCAACGTGTCTCTGTGGTGACTTGTCTCTAAGCCTGTTTCCCTATCTTCCTTTTGTTCTCTTCCAGACGCTACCAGACTTGAAAGCAGACAACCAGAGACTAAAGGACGAGAACGGAGCTCTTATTCGAGTCATTAGCAAGCTTTCCAAGTAGAACAGACCCCCTCCCCGCCCTCCTGCACCCGCCCACTCCTCCATGGCAGTGACTAATGGAATTGCAACTTTTAGGTATTAATTGCAAGAGACATCAGCAACAAGAAGACTCCTTCTTCCCTCGCTCCTCTCCTCTACCACCACCACAGCATCCTCCCATCCATTTCCTCCCTCTCTCCATTAGGTTATTATCCACTTCAACCTGTGGCTGCTCTCCAGATAGAACCACTGAGTTTACATTAGCAAAGGAAAGGGTTGTGAATGGCATGTAAAAGCGTTTGCGGGCGGGGAAGCCTCAACTATTTAACCAATAAGCCTTAGTTGTACATAAAACACTTGTATCGATCTCTCGGCTGTCACAGAAGAACAGTTATTTCACCGGATTTTTTTTGTGCCACAAACTCTTATTTCATCTTTTTGTTTTCATTTCCTGTTTGTTCCTCGACCTACATACAAGGGTTGTGCGATGTGTAGTTGTCCTGTTCTTTCTGACCCCCCCCCCCCTCCCCCAGAAGAAGTCCCACCCTGTTTTTGGAGGCTCTGTCGCCCAGCAGAATACTTCCCAGTTGTACCCTGTCTTAGTGCACGCAACCTCCACCCCCATCCCGACACACACCACACGCACACACCTCTATCCACCCACCCCCTTTCCATTTCTGTACCTTTGTGTGTCTCTTCAGAGGTAAATGGAATTATCGCTTTACAGAACAGGTGGACTTGGTGGAATTTAAGCTTTCACTGTATGTGCAATATGCATTTATTTCTAATAAAAATGCTTTAATGATGAGTCCATCACTAGTAGGATTTTCACTCCTTTTCCATCGCTCACCCCTTTCACCGACCCGCTCCCCCCTCTTTTCTTTAAGTTTGTAGTGTAGTTGTTGGTTTATACTCTGTATTTCTCACTTCGTTTTAGCAGGTACTGAGTGATGCTGTATATACCTGTATGTTTTGTTTGAGACTAGCACATGGCATGCATTTATGGGTCCCGTCTGTTACTATTAAAAATATACAAACTCCAGAGGACAAAAAAAGTGTGTTTTTAACTATTTTCTTCATTTATAGTCTAAAGACATTGGATTACAATAGGGCCTCTCTCTTAAAGGGAATGGCTGGCAGTGTTCAGTGCTTTTTCTTTCCAGTTTTAAGTGTTCACGGTAATTGTGAGATACAAATAATATAATTGCTTCACTACATTTGACACATTGTATTCAGTATCTTTGGACGAGTGCTGTTCATTTTCTTTTCAGTAAAAAAAAAAAAGCTGTAGTATTAGCCAAGGTGTTGTCACTAAAAGATCTTAGGTATTTACAATGTCTACATGCACTGTCAATGCCATGTGAGGAGTATTTGATGTCAGCCACCATCAAATAAAGTCCATGCATCAAACACATTTTATGCATTTCAGTGGCCTTTTAAGGATACTGTAGTAAAGAAAACAAGTTGCTGTAGTTGGACTGTTGGCCATCTCTTTTTGGTTTACATTTTTGATGTTTTTCCTTTTTAAATTTCCCATCTTGTAAAATAGGCGTGTGGCTTCATTCATGCGAGCTGTGCTGTGACTACCAACCACTGAAGAGTTCATTAAAAATAAACTTGTACATTGTAAAGACCTTGTGTTGGCTATTTTATTCTTGGCATTCATTAAATTGTTCACTTGAAGGTGACTTTATAGCCCTTCAGGGATTCTAACCTGTCACTTCTCTGTGAATAGTTTCTTATCTGGCTTGACCTCTTTCTGCAGCGGTACCCCCATAGTACAGCAGAAACATGTTTCTTGGGTCATCTCGGCTGTGTTATGGAGGTCCCCAACTCCATCAACTGGGTAAAACTGTGGAGGACCTTCAAAGATGTCCATGTTGGTGGCTCTGTCAACTACTACCTGTATTTTATTTAGGACAAACGAGTGCATGTTTTAAGAAATGACAAGGTCTACTCATTCCTATTCATGTGTACCAATAAAATGTTAAAGTTTATTTTCACCCACATAGAATGGAAACACCCAGGTCAGCCGGGGAGAGCCCAACAACCATGCTCCTCTAGGCATACAACAACCACCACCACCTCAGGTCAGTTTGTTTCAACTGCAATAATGTCAGTGACCCATGTCAACCATGGATTAGTTTCTCTCTCTTTCATGGTGAGGAACCATCTAACCTTGTCCCCAGGCGAATGTGCATATAATCCTGGGATATCAACGATTCAAAGTTGGATTAAGTGGGAGTGACTATACTGAGTAAAGTATTTGTCATTTAATTTTAGCGAATCACACCATTGTGGGGAGGGTTAGGGGTGTGATTTGTTGCCACATCCGGTTAGGTGAATTAACTTAGCAGGTTAGGAGAATGAGGTTAATGTTAAGGAAAGGGTTCGGGTTAAGCTAATGCCACAGTTGTCAACAACTGTTGTCCCCGACGCGACCACTAGATGGCGCGGTAAGCCTACGTCAACTCCCTCTAGCCACAACGGTAGAAACGTAAACAAACCATCTGTGGCGACAAATCATGTCTGCTTTACGATACTCCATTACAGCAAAAGACCCGCTCATACAAAGTGATTGCTAACTATGTTGAATCACCTTTCTTGTATTGTATGCTACCTTCTATAAGACTATTACGATCTTTGTTTGATTAGACACTTTACAAAGGTGCCCATTTGAGAGGAACGGAAATACCTTGAAGCAATCTTGACCTGGGCATTGCCTTATCACTAGTGTTGGGTCTACAAATGTTTCTGTCACTAATGTGCTTGTGTTACAATAATGAGCCGTCATCCATCCTGGAGTGTTATAACTGGAACAGACAGGAGGAGCTTAATGTGGAGCACTATAAGGAGCTGCACTCAAATGATTAATAAGGGCAACGACTGCATCGTGGGAAATGTAGTTTATGAACACCTTGCGGACCACGGGCCTAAATTGGGACCTATCACCAGGAAACATCCAGTGGTGTGCATATATTTCACCTGAGGACATGGCATTTGACCAGGAAATGCAGCTGATGAGCCAGACAGACACTTCCTGGCCCAAAACCGCTGGGTGATGTCAGATGACCCCCTGAGGAACTTTGCAGAGCCAGGTCAGCTGATAGTTCAGTAATATTAGGTTCCAGGTCAGCTGCTAGTTCCGTTGTAACTGGGGCCTAGCGATAGGCCTAAAATTCTCATATCCAGTCTATACCAAAAGGGGGTGGTAAAGATGTACCTTTCCCTGAGAAATGTGACTTTTCCAGTTTAGAGAGAATTGATATTTCTAACTTCTCTGTCTCATCCCCGTCTGGCTCTACCTTGTACCTGAGGGAAGAGCTGCTCTGTTGGGGAGACAGCCTGAAGCTGTGTTAAACTAGAGGACTGCCCACATAAAGTAGTACACAGAGATCACGGCCAAACACTTTGCAGGCGTACGCCTGGACAACTGTCGCTCCACTCCCCTACACGTGCATGGCTGAGGAACAGAATGCTGATCTGACTGTACATGCACACATTCATATCTGCATATCCTGGTGAATATTTTCTGTGAAACTCTTACATTGAATGTGCTGAGTGTTACAGGTGTTACTAGGCCAACATTATCCTCTTGTTATTGCTGGGGGAAAACACTTTGAAGTCTTTGTAGAAAAGTGGACCCCTAGTCTTCCTGCCATCTTGTGTGAATGTGCTGTGGAACATCTAGATTAGAGCATTATGAAAAATTACAAACGGTGTCAAATAAAGCTAAGTACAAACATTGCCGTGAAAAAGTATTTGCCCCCTTTCTGATTTTCTCTCTTAGCATATTTTTGATACTGAATGTTATGAGATCTTCAAACAAAACCTATTAGATCAAGGAAACCTGAGTTTACAAATAACAGAAATGTATACTTATTTAATTTATTTAATTAGCAAAGTTATGCAACACCCAATTCCCCTGTGTGAAAAAGTAATTGCCCCCTTAAACTCAATAACTGCTTGTGCCACCTTTAGCTGCAATGGCTGCAACCAAATGCTTCCATATTGCTGTGGAGGAATTTTGGCCCACTCTTGCATGCAGAACTGCTTTAACTCAGTGACATTTGTGGATATTCAAGCATGAACTTGCCACAACATCTCAATTGGGTTTAGGTCTGGACTTTGGCTAGGCCATTCAAAAACTTCAAATGTGTTGCTTTTTAACCATTTCCATGTAGACTTGATTGTGTGTTTTGGATCATTGTCTTGCTGCATGACCCAGCTGCCTTTCAGCTCACAGACGGATGGCCTGACATTCTCCTGTAGAATTCTCTGATACAGAGCAGAATTCATGGTTCCTTCTATTAAGGCAAGTCGTCCAGGTCCTGAGGCAGCAAAGCATCCCCAAACCATCTCACTACCACCACCATGCTTGACCGTTGGTATGAGGTTCTTACTGTGGAATGCAGTGTTTGGTTTTCGCCAGACATAATGTGACTCATCTCGACCATTCTTTACACATACAGGAAACTGTTGAGCGTGAAAAACCCAGCAGTGTTGCAGTTCTTGAGTCAAACCAGTGCGCCTGGCACCTACTACCATTCCCATTCAAAGGCACTTAAAGCAGGTGTTCTTAATGTTTTCTATATTAAGTGTATAACTATATTTTCCATTATCACGTGACTACCTGTGCACATTCACTTAAACATAAATTGATTTTCCAAACACCCCTTTCATCAGGCCAATTCCCACCATTAACCTGTTTGTTGCCTGGTAATTGACACTTTGCATGTCCCCCCTCCCCTCTCTGTGTTGTTTTCATATTTACTCTTTCTTGCCCAGCCTGTACCCCTTGACTTTCCCCTTCCCATCTCTCTCTCTCCTCCTCTCTTGTCTCATATCTATCTCTCTTTCTATATTCCCTTTTCTCCTCTATTCCTCGTCTCCTTTTCATCTCTATCTCCAATCTCACTCGTCCTCCCTTCCCCAACATTGCCTGTGTTGCATTGTGTGCCCTGGCCGTTGTGTTGTGGGTGGCTGTGCTGTATGTAGTCCATGCTGGAGAGAGCTCGC